TACTGATTCCTTGTTTTACTTCTGCATACAAAAAAACATCTGGTTACACATCCCCTTTCTACACTTAGAAATAACGCCATGGACTCTTTAACATCCACCCGAACACAGACAAGATCTCTGTTTTAATGTGTTATCTGATGGATGGCACCTCTGATAATGCAACATATTCCGAACACTGGAGTGTCAGCTTATTATGCAAGTTCAAGTCTTGATGTGGGGCTTGCACCCACAACCTTCTGATTCAAGAGGCGAGAGGGCTACAATAGAGCCAGTTTGACCCCGATGTAGTCATACTAATATGTAGCTTCCAGCAGAGTCACTCTAAAACCTCTACCCCTCGAAAACTAAGATTGATTGTAACATTGCTTATTAATACCCCAACTGAGATCAGCCAACTCAGCATAGATCTGAGATCAAATCTGTGACTTTCCCCAGTTCGTGTAGCTCAGCTCCTCACTGAAGCCAGAAGAGGAAGACACTCCCTGCTCATGAAGGGAAGAGTCTCATTAAGCTGAGCCTGAAGGTAACAGCTTGGAACTCCTCAGCTGGAAGTGAGAGGGGAAGCTGGGGAGTTCTCCAGCTGGGATTGCTTCCTCAAACACAGTGAAGCTAAATGGAGCTCATATACACAGCAGCTATTAAAATACCTATTATTATCTGGTCCCGAGGGTTGTTGCACTCACTGTCTGGTGTAAGTTGATCAATAGAAGCACAAGTAAATAGGGAATAAGAAGGTTCCATTCCATCAGGCCATCCTTCCACTGATCCAGGTGTACAATCCAGGTCTATGGGATCTTTGAAAGTTTTACTTACCCTCCAGAATACTTAATCTAACCTAAAAATCTGCATTATTCATCCTGTTACCCTTTGACAATAGTCTCTTTCTGCCTCCAAGGGTAACATTCTACATGGTGCATCCTAAGGGAGGTGCCTTCCTTGGCATGAGCTAACCATGGTACGAGCTACTCAGGGACCATTATCTTCCAAATGACCTCAATCTATCTACATCATCACATCCCTCAATCTCATTCCTAACTAAGTATTCGGCCCAATCTTTCTTTCTACTCTCCAGTCTTGCTTCACCTTCATGTTATTGTGATCTGAATAAGCTGGAACATTCACACAGCATCCCTTTGACCAGATAGGATCCAACTAGGAGACTAGCAAAGCCAAGGTTTAGGGCTTCAGTTTGTAGGTCATCTCATCATGGAATTCATCTCCTATACTGAAGGTTAATGGAGTCAGTTGAACAATAGCCTTTCACTTTTGAGCCATATGCTAGAATGTTAATGCATTGAGGTCACACTGAGTGTATTTGATACTAGATACCATTTGAATCTCCATGGACAGAGGAAGGATGTGTACAATATGTGGCAGCACGTTTTATTTATACAGCACTACTGGCCAATGGGCTGGATGTTTATGCCAACAATTTTCATGTTAACACCCGATTGCTGATCCCAGCGACTTTGGTTGGGTAGCCAGCAGCTTCACTGGACGTCCAGTCACCACAGCACCTCTTTACACACAGTCTCACAATTGGATCATAGTAGTGGAAACCTGGAAACAAGAAACAAGCTAGGCATTGCCACTTAGCTGTAGGTGGAGGATAGCAAGGAGAGACCAAGAAAGGATGTCATCATTTTTCAGGAAATCACATCTTGCCCTAAAGTTGCTTTTTTCAGGTCTCCTGCATCCGTTTGTGGAACACTCTCCCTTTTTTTCGAGCCCTGCTTGAAAAACTTCCTCTTCGACTGTACTTATTGGCCCCCTCCCCCCTGGCTCAGAGTCAGGTCCACCATTGTTAAGCGCTCTGCGTGGAGGGCACTATATAAGTACAAGTTGTTATTGATGTATATGATTCCATATGTGCAACCTCCCTAGACACTGAATAGTGGGTAAGAAGAAGGTCCTAATCCTGTCCTCACTCAACGTTCACAAACGAGCACCTTCCAGCAGGGTTTACTGAAAAGTGGTAGGTCCTGTGTGAAAGTACTCTGGCATGCTACCTTTCGTGAGGGGTACTATATAAATGCAAGTTGTTATTGTTTCTTAAGGACAGACAGGTAGCCCAGCTCCAGAGCCTCAAAACAACTCGCAGGCAACTGCTGCCAAGTGTAGTGACTGTGTATTTCCACTCAGGACAGAAGCCCTTTAAACGGGCAATATTTCGGAACATTTAATGTATAACTGTGGGCAAGTTACTGATTAATAATAATAATCCTGTATTTGGTTTTGCGCTGTCGAACAAACAATATCCTCTCTATCTGTGACCAGGGGTCCCTCTGTCTCCTCGTCCTCCTGGACCTCTCTGCCATGTTTGACACAGTTGATCACCCCATCCTTCTCCACCGCCTGACCTCCATCATCCACCTCAGTGGGACCTCACTCGCTTGGTTCGAGTCCTACCTTACAAATCGCCAGCACTACATTTCTGCAAATGTCTTCTTCGCGCTTCCATCCCGTCACTTGTGGGGTACCCCAAGGATCCATCTTGGCCCCCTTCTCTTCCTCATCTATATGCTCCCTCTCAGTGATGTCATCCGCAGACACGGGGTTAACTTCCACACAAATGCGGATGATACTCAATTCTACTCTTCTATCTCCAGCTGCGACCCCCAGTTCCCCGATGTTCTGTCTGCTTGTCTGTCGGACATCAGGAGCTGGATGAGTGCAAATTTCGCCCACAAATATACAGTCAATTCACTTTACAGTATATTCTGTGAAGTACTTTGAGACGTCGAGAAGACGTGAAAAGCGCTGTATCAAATGCAAGGATTATTATTATAAATTGCCTGCATTTAACGTCAACAAGACAGAAGTCATACTCTTTGGCTCCCGCCGCGTCTTCTGTCCCACGGTTCCTCAACCTACCCAACCTGTCCTTAAAACTCTCTGAACCCCATGCACAACTTAGGCATCAAATTCAATCCCGTTATCCTTCCTCCTCCACATCTAGTCCCTGACCAGGACTGCTTTCTTCCATCTCTGCCACATTGCCCGTCTCCAACAATACTTCATCCCAAAAGCTGCCAAAACCTTGGCCATGCCTTTGTCCCCTCTCGGTTGAATGACTAACGCCCTCCTCACTGGTCTCCTCTCCTCCACTATTCACAAAATCCAGCTCACTCAAAACACCGCCGCCCGCATTCTCACCCGCACCAAACTTCGTACCCCGATTACCCCAGACCTTGCCAAACTCCACTGGCTCCGTCACAGAGTGGATCGACTTCCAAGATCCTCACTGTTTAAATCCCTCCATTCCTTGGTACCCCCTCTAACCTCCTCTCTCCCCACAGCAGTACTCGCTGCCTCTGCTCTACTGGGTCTGACCTCATCCGCATCCCCCAAATCCTCCGCTCCACCATTGGGGGCCAACTAGGCCCCGAAACTTTGGAACTCCCTCGCTCAAACCCTTTGCCTCATCCCTCCTTCCCCAACTTCAGGTTGCACCTGAAGACCTTCCTTTTCAACCCCGCCTCCAGTTACCTTCCCCCTCCCCCTGGCTCAGCCTTGGGCTCCACCATTGTTAAGCGATGTGAGACACCGCCCGGCTTGGAGGGCGCTTTATAAGTGCAAGTTGTTGTTGTAGGTGTAGCAAGGACATCTCAAAGTATTTCACGGGAATTATCGTGAAATAGAGTGTGTATGGTGTATTTGTTGACAAACACAGCAGTACAATTGCACACAGCAACATCCCACAAACACCCAAAGAGTGAGTGACCAATTTTATTTGGGGATTGTTGGTCAGGATACTGGGAGAGAGAGAAATTCCCATCGCTTTTTGAATCGTGCCCTGGGATCATTAACATCCACCTAAGCGGGCAGTTAATGGCTCTGTTTAATGGCATATATTTGTTGGTAATGGTATCAAGGGATATGGGGCAAGTAATCGGAGTTGAGGTATAAATCAACCATGATCTTATAGAATGGCAGAACAGGCTCGAGGGGCTCAATGGCCTCCTCCCTGTTCCAATTCTCACCTGAAAGTCGGCTCCATTGAGAGCACCAGTTTAGTTTTCTGGAGGGGAAGGAAAATAACAAAGTGGCTGCTGTAGACAAGGCTGCAGGAAGGAGGAGGTCCCCTTCACTCCAGAACTGGGTCACTGGGTGCGGCCAACCGGCTCGGGTTGCCTGCAAGCGCATGCGCACTGCTCGGGGCGAGAAGGCGTGGGAATGATCTGCGGCGCATGCGCGTCAGTGTGCCTGACCATGCCCGCACCAAGCCGGCTTCGTGAGCATGCGCACGACTTACATTTCCCTCCCCCCACCGGGTCTGAGCGGCAACCGAGCCGCGCGTGCAAACGGAGCGACGCGCGTTTACGGCGGTGAAAGATAATAACACCGCCGACAGTCGGACACCGCGCGCTCCGCAGCTCGAGAGACACCATGAAATGCGGCGATGCTTTGTTCTTGCCCTCACGAAAACGAAAGTTTCGCCTTCTAATTTCAAAAATTCCAGCCGACAAAATGGAGGATTGGCCAAACCGGCTGAGACCGGCCTCGGGTGGTTTCCGCGCATGCGCAGCCACGCGGAGGTCCGTTCCCGGCAGCCCCCGGGGCGAGGCTGTGCCCACTCCGCGAATTTAAAAATAAACGAGAGGCGGCGAGAAGACACCCCGTCCGCGTCCAGTCATCAAACACTATCGCCGCGAGTAAAAATAAAGTCGCCTTTGAGAGGACGTGTGGCTGGTTGTTATGCGCCGCACGTAACCCCTGCCAACGCGCAGGCGCAGTCTGAGTCCCGGCGGCCTCCAGCCGAGAGAAAGACGAGATGAAAACCACGAACAAAGAGAGTTTCCGCACGACACAGAGTCGCGATTTCTGATGTCGCGGCGGAGGTTAAAAAACATTAACATTTTGGAACCCAGGCGGACTGCGGGGCGGCACTGCGCATGCGGGGGCCAGCGGGGCGGCACTGCGCCTGCTCGGGCGCCCGGTCGGGGGCGGCACTGCGCATGCGGGAAGGTGTGGCGCCCACACTGCGCATGCGAGCGGTGGAGGCGATCCCAGACTGCTTCGGTGAACAACAAGAGGTGGCGGCGGGAGTCCGTGGAGCTGAGAGAAAGCTGCCCAAAGCCCGTCCGTTCCTCACCTCAGCGCCCACCGACACCTCCCGCCTCCCCGTGAGCCGCTGTCCGGGGTGCGTGTGTGTTTTTGGGGGGGAGCTGTTCGGTTGCAGGCCTCGGGCCCATTCGCACGCCCGCTCCGCGCTGAGGTGACCATGGTCCAGAAGGAGGGAACGAGTGACACCGACTCCCGGGCCGCTCCCATCTCCCCGTCCGCCCCCGAGCTGGCCAATCCGGCCACCGCGCCAGGCCTGCCGGCGCCGGCCGCGCAGTCGCCGCCGCTTCCCGCCTCCGGGGCTCCGGCTGCCGCCCAGGAGGAAGGCGCGGCGGACACGGCTCCTGCTAACGGGGTCCTGGAGGGTCAGAGGCGGCGACGGCCGCAGGCCCCGGACACGACTCTCGGCGGCGGCGGCGGCAGGAGGAAGTTTTGCTGCGGAGTCGTAGAAGGTGAGGAATAGCGTCTTAAAAAAAATGCAAAGACAATAAAAGTGGTGGTCGTGAGGGCTCTACCACCCGCTGCCGCTCCTCGGCCGACTCCGGCCTCCTTTTTGTCCTTCGTCCTCTTCCACCATCGGTGCTACGCTCTGGAACTCTCCCTGAATCCCTGACCCCCCCCCCCGCCTGACCCCCCCCCGAGCGCTCCGGGACGATCTCCCGTGTGAAATTGCAGGTTGTTCTTCAAAGCAGTTCTTTAACTCTTTGGTTTGACTTCACAAAGCAATTGTTTTTAATAATTCATGACAGGTGGTGTGAGGGTTTAGTGTGGCTGTGGGAGGTGGGGGGGAGGAGGGGAGACTGGAGTTGGGCAGCCTGTTGTGATCGCACAATAATCCCCTCACTGTCGGTGTAATGTGATCTGCCACTGGCTGCCCATGGGGCATTTTTAGGGAGAATGAGTTCTGGAAAGGGGGAGGTCAGTCGGATACTTTTTATGGCTGACAGACAGGAAATTGATTGTAGGATTGTAGCTTATTGAAAACCTTTGCTTGCCAATTGGGTTGACGCCATCAGTGGACTCTATTTCTTCCCCCCCCCCCCCCAACTTAAAAGTTCAGGGAGTAAATGAGGCGTGTGGTGTGCATTGTCTGCCTTTTCCCCGGGTCTGTGCTCCTTTAGTTCATCTCAATTGAAATTGTTTTGCTTGACGTAAGAAGGGTAGTTGTGGCAGTCTGGGGGTGGGGTTGGAGGAAGAACTGATATGTCTGGCTGAGGGGAGCCAAGTTCAGTTTACTTAGTGATTGACAACATCTGAGCCATCAGGATCTGTAATGCTCCAGTGCATTGTTGATGATTTTGAATGGCCTCACGGTCTTCATTTGGAAGGGTAAATCTGTTACTATGGGGTGAAATTCTTCCCACTTGGTCCCCGATACCCTGCGGGTCAGTCACCCATATGTTTACCTGTATTTATATACTGTCCTAGTAAACTGTGTGGAATTGTATGGTCAGTTCCAGAAATGTAAAAATGCATTTTAGAGTCCTCGATATTGGTTCCTCAGGTATTGCTTCTTGCCGACCTACACTTGTGTTCACAGTATAGTTTATTGTTCCTTCCTATCCTCTTGAGCTGACAATTGTGGTCCCTCAACTGTAGAATCCTAACTTAAAGGAAAAGGATTTCTGAAATAGCCAGCGAACTAACAAAGGGGGCAGGGTGAAACGTTAGGCAAGTTTCCCTAGTTCACGCGCTTCTGTTTACCTAGCAGTAAGCAGGAACCTGGTTGTTAGTTGATTGGCGGATCACTTTTCTGGAGGTATTAATCAATTCATAAATAATTAATAATAATTTGGTCACTCAATCAATGACTGTTTGTGGGTCACTGCTGTGTGCAATTGGCTGCTGCAAAATATACAGTCAATTCACTTTATAGTATATTCTCTGAAGCTCTTTGACACATCTCAAAGACGTGATAAGGCTCTACATAAAATGCAAGGATTATTATTAAACGGGGGAGGTAACAATCGGTCAAGGCTCCTGATGCTGATTGATTCCGCCTGGAAAATATCACAGCATAATCGGGTGTCGGATGCGGTTCCTCATTGTTAAATATCTGAGGCACATTTGCTCTCCAGGTTGAGGCTGAGGAAAAGATGAGGAGAGAGAGGTGGAGAAAAAATGAAGTACTAGCTGACAGCTGTCAATGTTTGGAATGCACAGACAATCCATAAAGTGCGCTGAGAAATAATAGATTTTTATATTGGTGTTTGTAATAATAATTCCTTTAATATAGCATTTAGCAGGATGTCTCAGATTGCTTTACAGAATTTACAGTGAAGTGCAGTGACTGTGTAAGCAAACACAGCAGCCAATATATGCACAGTGTCCCACAAACAGTCATAAAGTGAATTGCCAATTCACTCGGGAGGACGTCCCAAAGCGCTTCACAGAACACACTGTAAAGTGAATTGACTGTATATTTGTGGGCGAACGTGGCAGCCAATTGCGCACAGCAATGTCCCACAAACAGTCGTGGATTGAAAATGACCAATTTATTATTGTTTTTGGTTTTGGAGGTTATTATTAGGCTCTGTGTGGAGTAAGGAAACTTGCCCGAGGTTTCACCCTCTGCCTGGAATTGAACTCGGATCTCTCGCTTGCAAAGTGAGTGCTCTAACCACTGAGCTACAGGATTCCACTTGACTCATAGCGGTCTGGTGCTCTGTTCATTAATGTATGTTTGGTGACTACAGAAAGCATTTGATTTGGAATGTTGAATTTGTTAGAAATATAATTACGCTATTTTAGCCGCAATATGTTTTAGAAACTCCCTAATCAAAGAAGATAATAACGCATTTAGGTGGGCTGCTACTTTGGAATTATGATATCTTTATTCAACATGGTCTTGCTCCTTCCTAACTCTGTGACCTGCAAACTCCGTATCGATCTGTCAGCTCCAAGTCCCCCGTTGGCCCAATCCAAACCACCATTGGAGGTCGGGCCTTCAGCCTCTCTGCCCCCAACATTTGGAACTCCATCCCGCAGTATGTTCATCTTGCTCCGTCCCTTGCCTCCTTCAAGGCACATCTCAAGACCCTCCTCTTCGACAGTACCTTCACTAAACCTCCCTGCTCCCCCCCCCTCCCCCGCCTGGGGGCTCTACCCTAGTGATTCTGCTCTGTTAATCCCTTCAATGATACAGGAGCTAGAATTGATTTAATGCTCCTTTTGGGCAGTTGGACTATCAGGTTGGAACTGAGCTCCCCTTTACTTATCTTTGTGCACAGCTGAGTTGCTGTATTTATCCATTTCCCTCTTTTTCTGCAGGATTTTATGGAAGGCCATGGAGCATGGAACAGAGAAAGGAATTGTTCAGAAGGTAAGTGTTTTGTTGATTACTTTTTCCTCAGTTTGTGGTGTACGGTCAGCCCTGAGCAGCTAAATAAATAGCCTCTTAGTGTTGGCTGAAGAAAAGTGGGGTGGTTAATGGAGCTGTGGACGGTATTCTGTGCTTGCTTTGTCCGTAAACCTTGCCTCCTGGGTCAGGCTGAGTGTGAATGCTACCTCCAATGAATATGTCCAGAAATCCAGCAGAGTACCCAATAGTTCTGCCCCTTAATTAATTTGAGTGTGTTGCCTATATTAATCTCATCCGTCTCTCTCTCGCTCTCTGTTCACAGGATGCGGAAGTGGGGGTTAAATACATATCTGTATGCACCGAAAGATGATTACAAGCACCGGATGTTCTGGCGAGAGATGTACTCTGTTGAAGAAGCAGGTGAAGATTCAGCTCCTTTCACTCTCTGGTGGAGAAAATGTGGATGTTGGTATCTGCTGGTGTATCCTGAAATTCACAGTCTCTAGACTAGCTAAACTGTGTGGTGGGGGCACATGTCATCATTGTGACGTGTTGGTACATTAAAACAGTGCAGCACTGTCTACCATTCTAGCTTATGGCAACTCAATGGTTCCAACCATGACTTTGCTTCAGGCCAACATAACTGTTGAGGTATAATTCTGAAGAGTCACTCATACTCAAATCTGTTCTGTTGCAGAGCAACTGATGCAGCTAATCTCTGCTGCCCGAGAGCACGATATTGAGTTTGTCTACGCCATATCCCCAGGACTGGATATTACCTTCTCTAACCCAAAGGAGATTGGTACTCTGAAACGCAAATTGGATCAGGTGGGTCCTTTCCATCTTTCCTCTTTTTCTCTCCTGAAGATGCTGATTTGTGACCCCCCCCCCCTTCTCTCTCCTGACTCTTAAGCTGAGTGCTTTCGCCGCCTTCAAAATCCTCTGAGTACAACAAGGAATTCACCCTGTATGAAAGCTGCTATATTAATACAAGTTTGGTCACTCAAACCACAGCTGTTTGTGGGACACTGCTGTGTGCAATCGGCTGCTGCATTTCACCTGGAAATATATGGTCAATTCACTTGATAGTATATTCTGTGAAGTGCTTTGAGACATCTCAATGACATGATAAGGCGCTGGATCAAACAAAAGGATTATTATTAACTTGTGCAGCAAATCTAGTTTCTGAAAGGGTGGGTTTTTCTCTTGTGATTTCCAGATCTCGCATTTCGGGTGCAAATCTTTTGCGTTGTTGTTTGATGACATCGACCACAACATGTGCCCTGCGGACAAGGAGGTTTTCAGCTCATTTGCACATGCACAGGTGTCAGTCACCAACGAGATCTATCAGTATTTGGAAGAACCAGAGAATTTTTTGTTTTGTCCGACAGGTGAGTGAGCAGCAATGTACACCTTAAAGTCCTGCTAAAAGGCATCCTGTCAGCGAGAATCAGCTCTCAGCCTGGCTCAGTTGGTAACATTCTCACCTCTGGCTCAGAAGATTGTAGGTTTTAGCCCCCGGTCAGTACTTTGAGCTCAGTCTAGACTGATGCTCAAAACAGTAAATATTAGGAGAGCTACATTACCAGAGGTGCTTAATGACATATTAAACTGAGATTCCATCTCCCTGATCAAGTAGACGTTAAAGACCTTGTACCTTCAAGTCCCTTTTCAAGACCCTCCTCTTTGGCCATGTCTTAGACCACCCTTTTACTCCTACCTTCCCTGACTTCCACCCTCCCTGATCTCAACCCCCAGTTTAGGTCCAAACCCTAACTGTCCAGCTCTTTGGGATGTCCTCCTGTGAAAGACGCTGTGTAAATTTCATTTGATTAAATTGTTGTTGTTGCCACTGTTGGATGGTGAAGAGGGTTGGCGAAGCATAGTTTTAATGCTTCCTGTTTGATTTTCAGAATACTGTGGCACCTTTTGCTATCCAAACGTTATCCACTCTCCGTATCTGCGGACTGTTGGAGAGAAGCTGCTGCCTGGCATTGAAGTATTGTGGACAGGTGCGTTCCTTCATGCTTACTGTAAATGGTGCTCGATATACATTGTGCTGTGTGGGTTAGTGTGACTTCTCTGTGGTTAGGTACTGAGTGCATTGGTTATCGCCTCAGAAGTAACCTCTTTCCTGCTCAAATTTACTTGTGGTGTCTTGTAACACAGAAACTTGTTTTTAAAGTTTTGGGGTGTTCTAGAATTTTTACAATGGGGGAAAAATGAATTATTGGCAGTAAAACTAGGGTTTGGAGTTCAACAGGTGTGACGCTCTGAAAATACACTGTGGAATGTCATTCCTGTGAGTAGTGAATTGAGATGTAATGTCTTGTGCAGCTGTAACCTCAGGAAAACTTAATGTTTAGTCTTTTTTGAACTTTAAGCAAAGTTTAAAACCATGAATTGGACCTGGCTGTGAGTGGAGTCCTGTAGCTCAGTGGTTAGAGCACTCGCTTTGCAAGTGAGAGACCTGAGTTCAATTCCAGTCAGGGCGAAACCTTGGGCAAGTTTCCTTACTCCACACAGAGCCTAATAATAATCCCTCCAAAACCAAAAACAATAATAAATTGGTCATTTCCAATCTATGACTGTTTGTGGGACATTGCTGTGCGCAATTGGCTGCCGCGTTCGCCCACAAATATACAGTCAATTCACTTTACAGTGTGTTCTGTGAAGCGCTTTGGGACGTCCTCCCGACGTGAAAAGCGCTATATCAAATGCAAGGATTATTATTATTATTATTATTATAATGGGTTCCTGTGATGGTGCTGTACAATTCACAAACGTGTAATTGGAGGCTCAGTCTAGCCTCACAATTAAGCTCTCACCAACCACTGTTGGTGCCTTTGTCATCTCTCTTGAACTATAAATTAACATCATCCTGTTTGACTTGTACCAAAGGCTTATCACACACGGAAAAAGTGTGGTTAAATCTTGTGTTGAGAATTGAGTGCCACCTCATCCACTTAGCTGCCCTCAAAGTCTGTCTGTCAATGTAATTAACCCAAATTTGACTTGAATGAAATAATTTCTTGGTTGTGAAGAAACTGGTCTGAATATGGGTGTGTTTGGCAGAGACTAAACCTCCTCTTTCACCCTCAGGGCCCAAGGTTGTTTCGAAAGATATTTCAGTGGAGTCGATTGAAGAAGTTACCAAGATACTGAAGAGGTCGCCAGTTATCTGGGACAACCTTCACGCCAACGATTACGACCAGAAGCGACTCTTTCTTGGGCCGTACAAGGGCCGGTCAACAGAGCTGATCCCCAGGCTGAAGGGTGTGCTGACCAACCCCAACTGTGAATTTGAGGGCAACTTTGTGGCCATTCACACACTGGCTACATGGTATAAGTCCAACATGAACGGTGTGAGGAAGGATGTTGTGATGAGTGAGTATATTGGATGAGTCCTCTTAATCACTTGCTTACAGGGTATAAATAATATATTTCTTCATTCGATGGAGCACCTATAACGTCTGTGCCTTGACTTCTAATTGCTGTGAAGTAGGGAGACAATCTTGAGGATTGTTGGTCAGGGAGAAAAAAAGTTTTCCAAAAAATATCCTGGGATTATGTAGGCGGGCATGCGTCATGCTCGAAAAACAAAACTTGCACAATAGTTTTAACAAAAAAGAGAGGTTTATTTTAACAAGGAAGTTCTACCTCTGTACATCTGTCATCTCCAGCCTCTCCTGTCACACTCCCAGCCCCCAGCTGTATGCTGGGGTTGTATTATCCCTTAGGGCTGGTGCTCAATTATCACAAACTCCAATCAAGCCTGATTGAGTCCAGCTCCTGTTAGCTCCCTTTGCACCTCGGTAGGCTGATCCCCAATAACCTTGAAAGGCAGCGACACGATTTATCTCCGTCACAGTCTCACAAAGACCAGGTAGAGAGGACCTTAACCTCTTGCAAAGTACCCAACTTCCCACAATTCAGCAGCACTCACAGCGCTACAGTGTCAGCCTGGATTGGGAGCTCAGAGTCTTGAAGTGGGATTTGTACCCACAGCCCTCTGACCCAGAGGCCAGAATAACCCATTTATATAGTGCCCCTCATGCAGGGTAACTTCCCAGAACGCTTATGTGAGAAAGTCAGCTAAGCTGGTTAATATCTTTCAGTTGGGGTGGGGGGGAGTGGCGAAGAAGCATAACCATTCTCTATTGCGCGGTTCACTGGCAGATGAATTGAGAGAATCATTTTAAAGAGGACCCCAACAGCGGGATTACTACTTTTTAATTAAGAGGCCAGCAGGGGTTGCAGATAGGATGAGCAGAGAGGCCTCCTCATTGAAGATTTCTGCGTGTCTATCCTGTACTGAGACTGATGAGGGTCTTGTTAAACAGCAGTGCTTTTAATAATCGCTTACTTGTATTTTTTTTGTACTTGTTTTTTTAGCTGACTCTGAGGAAAGCACAGTGTCGATCCAGATTAAATTGGAGAATGAGGGCAGTGATGAGGAAATCGAGACCGATGTCCTCTACAGTCCTCAGATGGCTTTGAAGCTTGCAATAGCAGAATGGCTTCAGGAGTTTGGAGTGCCACACCAGTACAACAGTGAGTGTCCCCTTCCTTGGTGATGTAGTTGCACTGGAGCTTTGTAGTGTCGTGATTAGAACACTCGCCTCGCAAGCGAGAGGACCTGGGTTTGATTCCCTTAAAATTCACAGAAGTCAAATCAATTAAAGCGATAACTGCCTTTTTTGCTGCTAATCTATTGCACTTGCAACCCATTTGTATGCCAGGATCTCATCCTGTGGAGTCCTGTAGCTTAGTGGTTAGAGCACTCGCCTTGCAAGCGAGAGGACTGGGGTGAAACGTTGGGCAAGTTTCCTTACTCCACACGCTTCTGTTTACCTAGCAGTGCATAGGAACCTGGTTATTGGTCAATTGGTGGATTGCTTTTCCAGGGATAGTAATCCATTCTAAATAAATAAAAATCAATAATTTGGTCACTCAATCCACAGCTGCTTGTGGGACGCTGCTTTGTGCATTTGGCTGCCACATTTCGCCCACAAAATATACGAAGACATGATAAAGTGCTATAATTCAAAAATCATTATTATTGCCGATTCCTCTGCTGCTGGGTAGAAACAGCTGGCTATTTACAGAGCAGATCTGATGTACTCACTTGGCAGGATTTTAAGGTTTAAATTCCCTCCCCTTGAAGGCCCGTTTCAAGACGCTCCTCTTCGACAGTGCCTTCGGTCACCCACCTACCCCTCCGGATCACAACCCCACAGCTTGGGTCCAAATCCTTGACTGTCCAGAGCCTTTGGACGTCCTGATGTGAAAGGTGCTGTGTAAATATAATTTGTTGACCTTGTATTTCCTTGCAGGCCGCCAGGTGCCTCACAGTGGAGCAAAGACCAGTATAATTGACCGAGCAGTAATGGACGCCCCTCCATGCCTGGTGTCCTCTACAATAGTGACTACGGTTTACCAACAGCCCATCATGAGCCAAGGGAGCCCACTGAGCAGTGAGCCAGCCACACTGAGCAGTGAGCCAGCCACACTGGATAAAGAGGAGGATGAGCTGGAGGAGAAGAAACAGCAATCAGACGAGGAGCCCATGGAGATGGTGGTAGAGAAAGCCGATGAGCAGGAAACCAAAAACGTCCACCAGATCCTCACAGACATCGTCCAGGCCAAATTGTCTGAGGATCTCAAGCCCATGGAGATGGATAAAGAGAGCATCGCCGAGTCCAAGTCCCCTGAGATCTCCATGCAGGAAGATTTCGGAAGCGACATCGCGCCCATGCAGACGGACGAACAGGTGAACAAGGAGCAGTACGTGCCGGGCCCCAATGAGAAGCCATTGTACGCGGTGGAGGCTGTGACCATGGAGGACCTGAGCCTCCTGGCTGAGATGTTTTATCTGCCCTATGAACATGGGCCCAAGGCTGTGCAGATCCTCAGAGAATTTCAGTGGCTCCGGGCTAACAGCAGTGTCGTCAGTGTGAACTGTAAAGGAAAAGATGCTGAAAAGGTGAGGAACATGTTCTACCTGGGTAGCACTTTCATCTCTCAGAACACATTGTGTGGGCTCAAGCCCGACATTGGAATTTGGGCTCTCAGTCCTGGCTGACAATGCAGCACAGTATTGGGGGAACATTTGCCTTTTCCAAAGTGCTGTTCCTTCGGGTGAGATATTAGGCTGAGGAGACGTCTCCCTGTTGAAGTAAACTTAGATTCCATGACTCCTGGAAATGAGAAGAGTATATCTCAGTTCCCTGGCCAACCATCTTCTCCCCCACTCCCCACCTGATACATTAGTTAGTCACTTCCAGTGCAGGACCTCACTATGCACAAGAGGTTGTTGCGCTGACCAACAAATAGTCACTCCACTTGGCATCAATTTCCTGTGAAGTGTTTAGAGATGTTTCAGTGTTGTAGGTGCTGCGTCATACAACAACAACAACAAGATTCCATTTATAAAGCACCTTTCACGTCAGGAGGATGTCCCAAGGCGCTGCACAGTTGGGTCATGACCCGAGCAGGGGGGAAATGGTCAGGGGGAGGGATGGGAGGGAGCGAGAAGGGGGAAGAGAGTCGAGAGGATTATTATGTCAAGCCATGCAGGCAGGCCTGAGGTTGGGTCAGAAACTCGTTCTGTGCAAGATCCTTAACACTGAACAGAATTCTAGTGTGCCCGTCTGCTATTTCAAATCCACTTGATCCTAGTCCTGTTGCTGTATCTTGTAGATTGTTTGACACAGCCTTAGAGAGAAACATCTGTTAGGCAGCAACAGGGACCATCTTTCTGCTTTCACAAAGCATTTCTGTCCAGGTGCCAATGAAGGCCTGCAGCTTGCCTCTGCAGCCCTGTGAGGGCCTCTCCTATGTGCAAGTGCCGTTGCTTAGACAAGCCTGCAACACGTCAAGTTTGCTGAGCGCAGAGAGATTTATCGAGTTAGGGTATTCGTGTTATGAACAATTGCTTCCTTCATGATCTTCCCCCATGTTTCCTCTGTGGCTTCGGGGTGGGCAAATCGTGCTGGGGGTGCGGGGGGAGAGAGATGAGGCATCTTATGCATTTTGTTTGACGGACATTCTGCTAACCAGTCAGACAATGTGAAGCCCTGTAGCTCAGTGGTTAGAGCACTTATCTCGCAAGCGAGAGGACCTGGGTTTGATTCTCGGGCAGGAAGAAACATTGGGCATGTTTCCTTAGTCCACACACCTCTGTTTACCTAGCAGTAGATAGGAACCGGTTGTTAGTTGATTGGCAGATCGCTTTTCCAGGAATAATAATTCTTTTTTTTAAAAAAAAACCAACAGTCTCCTAAAATCCTCTCATACTAACCAGCCCAATAAGCCTAACTATTACTCTAACCAATACACTACAGGACTCCACTTGAGCTAAGCCTGTGCCCGTCTCTGCACCCTGCCTGTCTCTAACCCCATGTTCTGGTTGTAAAATGTTGTACACTGTTCAGCGCCTTGGGACATCATCCCGACGTGAAAGCACTATACAAATGTAATCTTGCTGTTGTTGTGTTACAGATTGAGAAGTGGCATTCACGAGCCATTAAGTTTGAAGCCATGTGCTGTGGAGTCACGGAGATGTTCACCCGTCTTGCCAACTGTGAAAACCGCTCCATTCTCTATGACCTGTACCCTTACGTCTGGGACATAAAGGGCGTTGTGTCTATGGTGAAGTCCTTTGTGCAGTGGTTGGGTAGGTAACACAGGAGGCTGGTCTCACTCCCCAGTGATCTTGGTTTTGAAACCTTCAATTGTATCAGCCCTTGAAAAAGACAATGAACAAATCAGTAATGATTTTACACTCAACATCTTAACTGAGAGGAAGGGACTGGGCGGTGTGTAATCTCGGCTCTGGTCTAAAATTCAGTAACCCAGTTATTAGCTGATCTGCACTGGATACCAGTAAAAGTAAAAGTCCCTCCATTCTTGGTTTGGCTTGAAGTTGCAACAACTTCTATTGCTCCCTTCACATCTTAAAGTGATTTACAAAGACAGCAGGAGCTGTAAATTTGGGAGTAGGGACTAGGCTTGCTTATTGGGCTGGCTAGTACGACAGGATTTTTGGACACTGTTGTATGTTTTTCATGGGCTGGTGTAATTGTTAGGAGTAAATATTTGAACCAACACCTGTTAGATATTGTGTAATGATAAAATTGCCTTGTGTTTGTGGCTCTTCGCCGGCCTGTGGGCTGCATCACCCCACCAGAACTGGTCACATTGTCAAGCTGAGGGAGCATTGGTGTACAGGGCGGGTGAATGAGCATTGCCGTGCTGGCAGACCAGTAGTAGGAGCTGCTTGCTGTGTTCTCTGTAACTACGATTGCCGTTTCTGACAGAGCGCTAGCGAGCAGGAGATGTGGCAAACCCCAGGGCCTGGAGAGGACTCCAGGCCTCCGCGCATGCGAGCTTTATAGAAGCGCAAGGCTATTCTGGTGTCTGCTGATCCAGCCTCCATTAAACCGGCTCAGTCCTGAGAACAAACGTGAGCAATAAATTGAAAAGCACAATGCATGGGGAGGGGAGGGAATCCTGTGGGAAGTAAGTGCCTTTGGGATGAAAGGCTTAAAGGACTTTTCGGACCTATAAAGATGGGAATTTTTGCCTCACGTGGATTACAAGCTGAGTAAGGCACCAGTATAGTCTGGGTTACAGCACGTAACCGTATTTTATCCACAGGTTTCTACGCAGACGGCAGGGACTACGGTGCCGATGTGGGCTTTAAAACTATGACACAGCAGGCAGCTGAGCTACTACGACCATCACGGCTGGGGGGGGGGGGTCACTCCGCCGATCCAATTTAATCACTTAGCTTCAGCAACTTAGATTCCATGCTACTCGCTGGGTCTTTGATTAACTCTAAACTGTATGGTCTGTCCCTCCAGCACTCACAGAGACACCTCTGTCTGAATTTTCACATAAGTGTTTATCACCAAAGCAAAGCATTAGATGACTTCCCAGATTGTTTGTGTAGAAGTTGCAAAGAGAAATGCGTGGAACAGTCCTGAACAGTAGGAATCGGAACAGGTTGATTTGGTTTTCATAACACTTTTTTTTAAAAAAGAGTAGAAAATAATGACTCAGAAAATAACTTGTTTTGTCCACAAATGATAGTCACTTCAATCTACACTGTAACCTGTGAAGCGGTTTGAGACATCTCAACGATGTATCGAATGCGAGGATTATTATTAAATCCACTTAAATTAGGACTGGCTGGAGACAATTCATTACAAACACTGGAACCCAGAAATGCACCTTTTCAGTGAGTTAGGAGTATTATATTATAGAATAACTGCCTGTCATCAGTTATCTAAGCACAGGATGTGCTAGGGCTACTGAAATCTTCTGGAAACATGCCTGACTTTATTTAGCCTCAGGGCCGTTGGTGTTGGCTGGCCAGTGTATAGAGGAGGGAAGCCCCGGTCTGTTGTGTAGGTGATGCAGTGTGCAATCCGACATCATAACCTGAGTGTGATGCTGTGATGTGACGGGTTACTAACGGCCTCTTCTATTGTTTGTCTTCTTCCCTCATTGTGCACAGATGGAAGAATCCTCAGCACAAGTTACACCAGCTGTGGGCTCAACAACGGCAGATGTACGAAGTGTGGCGCGATTACCCACTAAGCTTGGCATTCTAGGCAGCGAGAATTTTTGTTTAGTTTTGAGCAGAAGTTTGAAGTCACATTTGCGCAGCTGATCTCTTACGACCTGCTTTAACAATGTTTTTTATTTATACAGCGCTCGTAACAAACTTAGATAGTATTGATCTAATAGACTTAATAGATAGTATTGACACTGCTACTGTCCAAATGTACCCGTTACAAGCTTTACCCACTGATCCGGGCTGCCCTGTAATTGGGGAGGTGGGGGGCTGCTGTGTGCCTGCCTTTTGCTTGCATTGTGAGTGCGAAGAATAGTCCCCCATATTCAACAGTGCTGATTGTTGTAGAGGGGAGCGGAGAGTTCACTTGCCTATGAATAGGGAGAAAGGCCGTGGCTTGAAATTACAAGAACTTCTTACCTTTTGCCCACAAAATATACAGTCAATTCACTTTACAGGATATTCTGTGAAGTGCTTTCAGATGGCTCAAAGACACAAGCCGCTATATCAAATGCAAGGATATTATTATGGTAGGAGCTGGTTCTTTTCCAGAGCAGGGTCAATCTGAATGTCTGTCTTTATTTAAAACACAACTTGGATGTGTTTAGGATGAGACGTTGTAGTAAAATGGATGGGTGCCAGAACCCAACACATTGTAGAGGCTGTGAAATGGCCACCGTGTTACTCAATGGCTGCCTCAATATGCAAATCCAGTGAGAGATGTTCTTGAGCCTTTCCCATTACTTAACATCTGGTTACCCTCTGGCCTGCTGTTCACGTTGCATGAGTTTCAAGCCAAATGTTTCCTTTTTAAGTACCTGGCTAATTCCCTTTTGAAAACTATTATTGAATCTGCTTCCACCATCCTTTCAGGCAGTGCACTCCAGACCATAGCAACTCTCGGGGTGAAAAAGATTCTCCTCGTCTCCCCTGTGATTCTTTTGACAATTATCTTGTGTTCTCTGGTTACCGACCCACTCGCCAGAGGAAACTGTTTCTCCCCATCTCTTTTATCAAAATCTCTCATAAATCTATGCAGTATTGAAGCTCCTTTTCTCCTCTGAGCCGAGATGCTGCCTTATGGGGTGAGATTCTCTGAGTGGCCGTTCTTGATGTTTGTGGGGCTGAATACACTGGCTGATCGGGAAGTCGCCTTGATTGAAGGAGTTGGGGGTGCTTGCGATTGACTTGTTTGGAGCTTCAGTTTCCCCCTGGGGTGCAAGAATCTTATCTGAGATTGACCGTGGTGGTGAAGAGGGCCCATGGATGTGGATCTTTTTTACTGTGACATCCTCTGCACAAACAGTCTTAACACTGATTTTGAAGCAGTGCAAATCCCTCTTGAAAAGCACATTGGTGCCACCTTCTGAACCAGATGGTAACAGCAATAATACAGGTGGATAGAGACCAGCAACTGGCAAATTGGCTTGGGTTTCTGAGTTTAGCAACGCCTCTGGAGTGTGTGCGAGAGATGCCAGTGAGGGAGGGCATTGTGTTTTTTTTAAAAAAAACTCACTACAACAACAAATTGCATTTACACTGCGCCTATCATGTCGGGAGGATGTCCCAAGGTACTGGACAGTCAAGGATTTGTACCCGAGCTGGAGTTGGAATCATTTGCATTTGATTAATTTGATGTACTGTATTGCCTGTAGCATTGCAGTGTTTCCCAGGCAATTGTAGCTTGAAGTGAATTGTTGGCAGGTGCTATAGCCCATTTGTGCATAAACATCCATGAGTGAACAATTGGTTCAGCGTCTCATTCCTGAGGGCAACACCTCAGACAACGGAGCTCTCTCCCACACTGCACTGGAGACTCGGCCAAGACTATGAGATCAACATCCAAAGCAAGAGTGATTGAGCTTTTGAGGTTAGAATGAGTTGAAAATAGTTTAAAGTAGATAGGAAAGATGGAAAATATGAGGTGAATGTAGAGTACCATGTCTTGCTTTGGAAATATACAGTCACAGATGGTCTTCATAGACCTTACATTTGGTATGAGTAAGGTAGTTTGGGGTTTCTAGCCTGATAAACAATTACGAAATGTCTGTTCCCCACATGAATCTGTGTCTTCGAGGCCATGTTTGGAGCATTGTGTTGTTTTAATGCTAAGGGACAAATGGAAAATTAACAAGCACAAAAACCTCACACATTCCCAAGACCTTGAAGATACAAAGCAAATAATCCAGGTCTTTAATAAACCAGGCCTTTCTCCCCCACGCACCACTTTGGTAGATTCCAACCTCTCTTTGTGAAGCACTCAGGCATTATCCTATGTGAATGGCGTTGTTGTTATGTTGTTGCTGCTGATGTTGTCCATTGTAGAAGCATGGAGGATCTAGTTATAAGGCTTGACCTGTGATCACTGGACCAAGTGCCAATTTCCCTGTCTGAGTGACAAGAGAAGCTCAGCCCCTCAATTTCCTGAGTGTGTGTGGCTGGATAGCCAGGAGATACTAATGTGGTGTTAGCTGGAGCCAGGTAGGGTGATAGTATACAACAAGGAAAGGTTTGAACATAGCGAGGTGGTTGGGTCATTTGAAGTTATATCGCCTTTAGGGGAGGTTGAAGATTCGAACCTTGGGTGAGGAGCTTTGTTGGGTGAGGTCATGTTGGAACGTAGGAACAGGAGGATGCCATTCAGCCCCTCAAGTGTGTTTTGCCATTCGATTAGATCACAGCTGATCTGTACGTCAACTCCATTTACCTGCTTTTGCTCCATATCCCTTGATATTCTTACCTAGCAAACATCTATCCACCTTGATCAATAGATTTTTGCTTTTACTGTAGGCTGGGTGGCCTGAGTGTTGTCTTGTTCCATAGTTTGGTTTGGTCAGTGGACCAGAGTTGTCAATCATATTTGAAGCATTGAGCAGCAGAGGATTAAACGCAAACTGGGGACGATAGCTCTCTAAACACAGGCGAATGTAAGTTGGTTGTACACATTTACTTCAGCTTCACGTGTGTGGCATTTGCAACTCCCTCGCCTCCTCCACACCCAAAAAAAAACTTAAATGGGCAATTCTCAGAGAAGACATTTCAGCACAGAAGTGGACTTTAAGAACTAAGAATGTGATTGCCGATCCCACATACTTCAATATCCAAATGGGGTTGGTTGGGAAGTGGCGCCTTTCACGTCGGGAGGACGTCCCAAGGCGCTGGACTCTGGCAACCAGGGAAATTTCATTGACACCTTGAAAAACTGGTCGGTTTGGACATTAGATGGTGGTTTAATTACAGGGAAATGTCAACACTTTTATACCAAAATTCATCTGACAAGAGGAGCCTCTGAATGTGACTTCAGTTTATTATTATGTACTCTTAGGGCTGCAATGGAACCTCTAAGCAACCTTCTAACGCTTGTAATTTTATCCGAGTAATTAAAATTAATCAGATCATTGTAATGAAAATTCAGCGATAAGTACTAGAAGCAAATTGTGCCGGGTCTAAGCAGAGCACCATTGCAGTGTCTGCCTAGTGGGGCGGGATTGGTAGTCGGAGGGACTTCACACTCAGTTTCATTATGTGTCGTTACAGCCCTAATGGGTCAGGCAGGTCGAGCTCAGACAGACAGATCGGACGGTCCTTTGTTGCGCACTTCTTTTGTTTTGTGAGAAGGTGGTGTGTGTTGCTTTTGCGGAAAAGTTATAAAGACGACAGGAAAGTCCCACGTAACATTCTCCGCTTGGATCTGATCAACAGGGTGTCGTAGTCAATCTTCAGCACAGTTCTTAAGTGGCGACCAAGAACCCTGGGCCTTTAGAGGTGGTCTAGCAGGAGAGTTCCAGGTATTCTACGAATTCCCAATGACTGCTGTGTTTTTTTTTCTGTAATGAGAACAAAAAGTTGTTGAGAAACGGAAGGATTGGTCTGTTGATGGCTTTAGCTGGTTTAGCTGACAGAACCTGGGCTGGCATTTTGTGCTGGCTGGCACTAATTTGTTTTCTTTTCAGTTGGAAGGAGACTGTGGAATGCTAATGCCAATGCCCGCCTGCCCGCGCACCTACTTTAGATCACGAACCGTTCCTTTTCAGGCGGCGCCGTGTTCTAACCGCGCCTGCGATCGCGCCGCTTGCTTGCTTGCTCTGGTCTGTGGACGCTCCAGGAACGAACAGGCACGGTGCTAAGGAGCATCTGATCGGGGGAGGGAGTGCAAAGGAAGTGAGGGGGTTGTGGGGAGAGATTTCTCTTAACAAAGCCAACGTAACTAGTCACTGCTCAGCCCTGGTTGCAGTGCTCTGGAAGCTTCCTCGCACGGCCACAAAGTGTTGCCTCGGGCATTGCTGATGGTCCTAGTCCTTGCCGACCGGCTCCTGGAGCGTTCGCTGCGCTGCTCACCTCACGATTCTCTTACAGGTGCTCTGTCTCCGCGCTGCTTGTGAACCCGCGCCTGCGACGTCCTTCGGGAAGGTAATGGCTTTGTCAGCAGGTTAACCCTCTCCAGACCAAACCTCCTCCCCTCCCCCCAAATCCCTTCCTCACTCCATTCATTAATTTAATGTTTTATAAGAAGCTGTTTAAAAAAAGGTACAAATTGTGTACAGTAAATTAATCTTTCGTCACTCGTTTGCTACTGTAGCTGCCTGTAAGCATTCCACGCTGCTGTTCTATTCAAAGTAAGATGGATGGGTGTCAGACACGCCCCGCTTCTTGTTATAAAACCAGGCATGTGGTGTGTTTCCTGGCGTTGGCCTGTGGTGCTGTCGGGTGCCGTCAGTAGCAAACGAGTTGAAATTGGAGGCGAGTTCTTTGGAGCAGATTGTTGGTGGCCACTGTGCAAAGTGGAGCTGTACTGACTGAACTTTTGGTCCTTCACAGCGCTTGTTGCCCATTGAGGCAGCAAATGATCTCTTCTGCCAGCCTCCTCCGCCGATGCCAACGTCAAAGGTTTACACCATCAGGCCGTATTTTGCCAAGGATGAGGTAAATCAACTTTCAAGATCCTCATACACGTTTTCATGCTCTAGCACCTCCTTAACTCTCCGACCTGCTTACTACCCGCTGCCTCCACTCAACTGGCACAAGCCTCCTGCTTGTCCCCATGCCCTCAGTTCCACCATCGGTGGCCGCGTTTTCAGCCATTACGCACTTTACCAAAACACACAATGACTGCACTTTACAGGACATCCTGTGAACTGCTTTGGGACATCCTCCTGACGTGAAAGGCCTGTATCTTATGTAAGGATAATAATTATCCATGATCCTGACACGGTGTGAGGACTGGTCACGTGTCAGGAACACATTGCTGAACGTTGGGTCCTGCCTGGAGCCTGTGTGAGTTGCTGCTGCGTTTTCAGCCACTCCGCCCTGAAACTCTGGAACACTCTTCCTCTATCCCTCCACCTCGCCCCCTCCTTCCCCATCTTCAGGTCACGCCTGAAGACCTTCCTTTTGAACATCCTCCCCCAGCTCGGTATCGGGACGCCACGCTGCGTGAGGAGCACTGTGTAAATACAAATTGTCGTCGTAAATGAGTTCCTTCCTGACTATTGAAACACGGAGTGGGCGGGGTTCGCAATGTGGGCAGCTGAGCTGGGCTCAGGTCAGAGCGGGGAAGAGCACGGGGACTGTTCACATCTGGAAATAAAACCACTGGTGGAATCTTGTCCCAACTATGCCCGGTACTGGTGGACCAATCGTGCGTCAGTGTTAACTGACCCTTGTCCTCTTCGAACATACCTACGGTCACCTTTTCCCCCTTCCCAGCATTGTGCTCCGCCACTATCCAGCGCTCTGGGATGCTGCCCTGTGTGAGGGGCGCTATATAGATGCAAGTTGTTAACGTGAAAAACGGTGTCTGAGTGGGTTTTCTTGTCCACAGGCTTCTGTCTACAAGATCTGTAAAGAAATGTACGATGACGAAATGGATAGTGGGTCTGTGGATTCAGAACAGCCCGATATCGTGGGGGACAGGTGTGTAAAGCTCTCTGGGGAATGGAGTTCCAGAGAGTGGGGGCAGAAAGGCTGAAAGACTGACTGCCAATAGTGGAGTGGGCAGGACGGGGGACATGAAGCAGGCCAATGCCTGCTGAGCGGAGGGAGCGGGCAAGTTGGTTTGATGTTAAGAGGTCGCAGAGGTAGGGGGGAGCCAGACTGTTGGTGGGTGTTTAAAAGTGACGGAATGAGCCAAATCTTTGGGGGGAGAGAGGATGAAAGTCTAGTGCTTGTGCTGTATACACGTGCAGAGCTAACATGATGCCATGATTTGTGTGCAGCTTGGTGGGTGGGCTGCTGACCCTGAGCCCAGACTACTGCTTCGTGCTGGAGGATGAGGGAGGCGTATGTGGCTACGCCTTGGGCACTGTGGATGTGAAACCCTTCTGTAAGAAGTGTAATGTCTCCTGGATTCCTACCATGAGGGAGAAATACTTAAAGCCCGAGACCAGTAAGGAGCTTTCAGAGGAACAGGTAATCGCCAGCCCGTGTGCTGCTGTTCTCAAACCCAGCAAAGATTCTGAAGGGATTAGATAATGTAGACCATGAGAAGCTGTTTTATCTTGTACTGAGCAGTAGAGCTCGCTCAATCCACAACTGGTTGTGGGACACCGCTGTGCGCAATTGGCTGCTTGCATTTCTCCCACAAATTATACAGTGAATTCACTCTGCAGTATATTCTGTAAAGCGCCTAGAGACGTCTAGAAGACGTGATAAGGCGCTACATCAAATGCAAGGATTATTATGGATGGCTGTCAGTGAGTGGGATACTGCCAGTGTCTGGGTGAATGGGTGTGTTGGTGCTGGATAGACATTGCCACTGACCATTCTCTCTGTTCCTGTGCAGAAGATGATGCTGAGCTTCCACGAGGAGCAGGAAGGGCTTCCCGACAACTTCCTGGCCATGTTCCCCTCCCTCATCAAATTGGATGTGCACTCCAAGGTCACTGACCCCAGTGTGGCCAAAAGCATGATGGGCTGCTTGCTCTCATCCTTAAAGGCTAACGGTAAGGTTCTCAGCCTCAGCTCCTGCATAGCCTGCGCCTGCTCTGATGGATGTCAATTACATTATATATTAAATATCTGGAGTCCTGTAGCACAGTGGTTAGAGCACTTGCCTCACTAGCGATAGGACTTGGATTCAATTCCCAAACCAACTCCCAATTCCCAGAGGAACCAACCAGGGAGCAGGCTATTCTAGATCTTGTTTTGTGTAATGAAATAGGGCTAATCAGCAATCTGGAAGTTAAGGCTCCTCGAGGGCAGAGTGACCATAACATGATGGAATTTAACATTAAGTTAGTGATATTGTTGAATCCGAAGCAAGGATCTTAAATTTAAACAGAGCCAACTTTGCAGGTATGAGCAAAGCTTTGGCTAAAATAGACTGGGAAATTAGATTTAAAAAACATGATGGTAGACCAGCAATGGCAAACGTTTACACATATAATATATAATTCCCAGCGATCACATATTCCCTTGAAAAATACAAAATACCACGGGGAAAAATGGTTCCACTTTGGCTAACCAGAGAAGTTGGGGAAAGTATAAAGTTAAAAGAAGAGGCCTATAATACTGCCAAAAACAGCAGCAAACCTGAGGATTGGGAGGGCTTTAGAGAACAGCAAAGGAAAACCGAGACACTGATTCAGAGGGAGAAAATGAAATACAAGGGTAAACTCGCGAGGAACATAAAGACAGATCGTAAGAGTTTTCACAAGTACGTAAAGAGGAAGAGACTATCAAAAGTGCATGTGGGTCCATTGCAGGCGGAGACGGGAGAAATTATAATGGAGAATAAAGAAATGGTAGTCATTAAACAAATATTTTTGCTTCTGTCTTCATGTTAGAGGACACTGAAAATTTACCGAAAATAGAGGGGAACCTGGAGGCTAATGTTAGTGAGGAACTTAAAGAAATGAACATCAGTAAAGCAATAGTACTAGAGAAATTGATAGGACTAAAAACCGATAAATCCCCTGCACCTGATGGCCGGCATCCCAGGGTTTATAAAGGGGCGGCTGCAGAGATAGTGGATGCTTTGTTTTTGATCTTCCCAAATTCCCTGGATTCTGGAATGGTTCCCAGTGATTGGAATCGCAAACGTAATGCTGATATTTAAGAAGGGTGGGAGACAAAAAATGGGGAACTGTAGACCAGTCAGTCTGACATCGGTGGTAGGGAAAATTCTCGAGTCCTTAATTAGGGACGTCGTCGTGGGATACTTAGAAAATCACAACATGATTAGGCAGCGTCAACATGGCTTTACGAAAGGGAAATCATGTTTAACAAATCTTATAGAGATTTTTGAGGATGTAACTAGCAGGTTAGATGGGGGAAACCAGTAGGTGTGGTGTATTTGGATTTCCGGAAGGCATTCGACAAAGTGCCACATAAAAGGCTGTTGCATAAGATTAGAGCCGGTGGAATTAAAGATAATATATTAGCGTGGATTGGAGAGTGGCTAACAGGAAGAAAACAGAGTAGGGATAAACTGGTCCAGCTTGGCGGGATGTGACTAATGGAGTGCCACAAGGATCAGTGCTTGGACCTCAATTATTTACAGTCTATATCAATGATTTAGATGAGGAAATCGAATTTAACATATCTAAATTCGCGGATGATACAAAGATAGGTGGGAGCGTGAGCTGAGAGGATGACACACGAAGAATGCAAAGGGAAATAGACAGGCTAGGGCAAGAGTGGGCAAGAAGGGGCAGATGGAGTATAACATGGGGAAGTGTGACGTTATTCACCTAGGTAGTAAAAATAGAAAAGCGGATTATTTTCTAGAGGGAGAGAGACTGGGTAGTGTTAGTGTTCAGAGGGATTTGGGATCCTTGTACACCAGTCACAAAAAGTTAGTATGCAGATACAGCAAGCAACTAGGAAGGCTAATGCCATGTTGGCGTTCGTTGCAAAAGGGTTAGAGTACAAGAGTAGGGAAGTCTTGCTGCAGTTGTATAAGGCCTTGGAGAGACCGCACCTAGAATATAGTGTGCAGTTTTGTCTCCTTATTTAAGAAAGGACATCCTCGTCTTAGAGAGTGCAGAGTAGATTCACTAGGTTGGTTCCTGGGATGAGGGGGTTGGCCTATGAGATTAGGTTGAGTAAACTTAGCCTATGTTCTCCAGAATATAGAAGAATTAGAGGTGATCTTGTAGAAACCTATAAGATTCTTAAGGGTCTTGACAGGGTAGCTGCCATGAGACTGTTTCCCCGGTTGGAGAATCTAAAACTAGAGGTCATAGTCTCAAGATTAAGGGTCAGCCTTTTTGAACTGAATTGAAACATTTCTTCACTCAGAGGGTTGTGAATTTGTGGAATTCTCTACCCCAGAGGCTGTGGATGCTCAGTCCTTGAACATATTCAAGACTGAGGTTGATAGATATCTAAAGGATAGAGGGATTAAAGGATATGGGGATAGGGCGGGTAAATGGAGTTAGGTTAGAAGATCAGTCATGATCTTATTAAATGGCCGGGCAGGCTCGAGGGGCTGAACCCCTACCTACCTGCCCGTACCCTCCGTTCCTCTGGCTCCGGTCTGCTCCACGTCCCCCGCCCCAACCGCCCTACTATCGGTGGTCGGGCCTTCAGCCCCGAGGCTCTGGAACTCCATCCCCCAGTGCCTTCGCCTTGCTTCCTCCCTTTCCTCCTTCAAGGCCGGTCTCAAAACCTTTCTCTTTGACCGTGCCTTCAGCTCCCCTCTCGACTCTCTTCCTCCTCCTCGCTCCCTCCCTTCCCTCCCCTCACCCTGACCATTTCCCCCTCCTCTCTCCCTCCCTTCCCTCCCCTCACCCTGACCATTTCCCCCCTGCTCGGGTCATGACCCAACTGTGCAGCGCCTTGGGACGTCCTCCTGACGTGAAAGGCGCTCTATAAATGGAATCTTGTTGTTGTTGTTGTTGAATGGCCTACTCCTGCTCCTACGTCTTATGGTCAAACGGGGCAAAACCTTAGGAAAGTTTCCTTACTCCACACGTCTTGGTTTACCTTATAGTAAGTAGGAACCTGGTTGTTAGTCGATTGGTGGATTGATTTTTGGGGGTAATAATTCTGAGTAGCACTTTGAGACGTCTCGTGATAACGCACCCCTTGTTCTTGAATTCTCCACATAGCAATAATCGGAATCCAAACTCTTCCAAACCTGAAATATCAGTGCTAAAATTTAACATCTTTGTCATGAGTCACACATCACCGATTTGAGACAGTCCCACTGACCTTTGAACCCGCCCCCCTTGTGCACCCTGTAACTACTCACTGCCGCTCTCCCCTGTGGTATGGTCTGTTTATTGGGTCTGTCTCGTCTGCAGGTTCCCGTGGGGCGTTCTGTGAAGTGAAACCAAGTGACAAACGGAGTCTGGAGTTCTACAGTAAGCTGGGGTGTGTGGAGCTGGCCAAAACCGAGGGCTTTCCCAAAGAGATGCTGTTCCTGGGACGGACCTTGTAAAAGCTGCCTTCACTGTAGTGTAATTAATGGATGTGTATAATTAAATGTATCTAAACTAGCCTTAAAGCTGAAATAGCCCGTGTTTCATAATGTTTTATATTTTATTACCCTCCTGTTTTTCATTTTGTATTTGGGATGTATATTAAGGGGAGCTGGGTGGCGAGAGGTAGTGTGTGTGAGAGAGGCAGGCAGCTCAGCAGTGATCAAGTGCCGGCTTTCCCTTTTTCCCCTGCCCGGAAACCCTCTCTCTCCCTCCCTCACACATTGCCTCCTACAGCTCAGTGTACTACGGAGTCCTGCACACTGCAGACAACAGTGACAACGCTCTTGTTCCTGCTCTCAGCTCCTGAGCAAATCTCCCCCCAGAGCTGATGGGTTCTGGGTGGCCCACTCCCTCAGCACTGATGGTTCTGCAAATAATCTGCTGGGCAACATGCCCGCGAGGCTGCTTTCCGTCCTCTCTCTCAGCATGCCTCACCGCACCTCGCCAGCTTTCCTGAACGGAGAGTTGAATTGACTGTATATTGCTGTATTGTTCCTGTGTTAACCTGCTACCCTGTTAGTGGGCAGTAAGTTCTCCACAGCAGCCTGGGGATATCAGAACTCCAGCTGGAGAGGCTGTGAATCTCACACCCAGGCTGTGTGGTCGTGTGGCATGTGGGCGTTGAGCCCCCTCACCGTGGAAGCTTGTGGGCCAGTCAGTCCTGACCAAAGCTCCACCTCCATTAAGTAGCTACCTGCTTATGTGCCGAACACTGTATATAACTGAATAATAGGGGTGGGGGTTAGTATTGCATGTAAATAGGGTTGCAGAGTGACTCGGTCGCTCCTGTTATCACGGTTAAAGCTGTCGCTGTCCTGGGTGAGGTTTGGGCAGCTCGTGATTATGGTTGTCACGGAGGCCGTGGTGTTTTGCTTTAAACAGACACTGGCGGCTGCTCGTTGTGGAGCTTCCGCACTCGTTTCTGCTTTGGCATTTTGAAGTGTTTCTGCTGTATTGTGATGGGAGCCCAGGCTGGGGTGGGGGGGGGGTTGGGGTAAAACTCGCCGCGGGAGCTGGGCTTGTGGGGGGGATGCTCCAACCCATTGCAGACAAGTGCTGATGTGGCCTGTACATTACCTGTAGATATAAACCAATGCCCTCTGAAGGGCAGAGAGTGAGGCTGTGGTAAGCAAGACAAGAAGAGGCAATTTGGCTCCAGTGTGCATATGGAGAGCACCTCTCATTCTCCACTTAATGATGGGGCAGTTTTGAAGCAGTTTCTGGAGTTCAGCTGTTCACTGGTTCGTGTGCACGTTCATCGCATCTTTGTCAAACTCACTGCTCTGGGCCCTCATAATAAATTGCAGACCAACCAGGTAGGACTTCATTGTATATCTTCACTGGAGAATCGGGTCTGGATCTTAGGCCTGGGTGCTGTTGTCCTGGTGGTGACCCAGGGGAAGCAAGTAGCTTACCATTATTTCCTCCCCTGCCCCTCCCCCCGGAGATGTAAGTGGCAAGAATTTCCATGAGTTTGTACATACAGGGAGTCTTTATAGCGAACATTCCTTGTCTTTAAAGGCCATTGCTCTTGGGTGTGTGTCTGGTCTGTTGCTGAGCATTGGCTGGACATGTGTTGTGTTTTGCTAACGATGGCTGATCTGATCTAATTCCAAAACAAGGGCAAGTTGTTTTCTGTTGATATCGGATGCAAACATCTCCCACCTGTTGCTGCCACATGAAGGGCTAAAGTTCCAGGTTTTGTGTTGGAAAAATGTGGCTTATTTGTCAATGGGTCAGGAAACAACTTTGAGGCTAAATGCTGCTGAGGTACTGATCTTACTGGCCCCCAAACGAGCGAGAGCAAATGAGCCTGGGTGACACCCACCACCTGTGTGTGTGTCTAAAGGGCGGATGAGGGTTAAACAGGATGTGGGTTTGACGTTGAGGCTGTGCTAATATTCACTGGTGATGCTCACCTGAGACTGAGCCAATCTTTTCCCCACTTACCTTCCTAGACATGTAAGCTTCATGCTAAAACCTAATGGTGTCCCGTTTAGTGTACTCAGCCTGGGACTACAGTGCTCTAGTCTAATGTAATACTACATCACCCCGCACACTTCCCTTGCTCAGAGGACTCTATTCTCTGTAACTCCATCCCAGAGTCTCTCCAACTTGCTCCCTCCCACTCCATGTTCATTATCTCTCTCGAGACCTACCTCTTTGATCTCTGGTAATCTTTCCCCTGTCCACACATTCAACTCCTTGTTCCCACCAACCCCTAACCTATACAGTAACATAGTAATGTGAATGTTGGGGAGCATTATTCACACAGCACAGTGTGGTGGCTCTCCCACCCAAGAACTCCTGTCTCATCACAATTTCTGTCCAATCTTCCCCATGCCAATAACCTGGAAACTGAAATACATTTAATATAGTTAAACCTAAAAGAAACGTCTTGAGCCCAGACTGAATCCACATGTCCCAGACTGCAGCCCTAATGAACTGTTCTATTTTATTAATGAACCAGCTGTGGCTTGTCTCTGATGCGGGAGAGATGGATGGCTGGTGTGTAATATTAGTCTGTATTTTTAATGAAATGTTCACCTGTACTTCGGTTCCCCTTTCTGCTCGGTTTGTTACAGAATAAAAACTTGTACAAAAATGTTTGCCAAATAAAAGCATAACAAAATGTGTAAAACTGGGTGTGTGGTGTTTTTTCCAGTTTGTGATGAGAGTACAGAAATCTGTGTCCAGATCACACATTAGCTGGGAGAGAGTTCCAGGCTGGACAATAGGAGGACATAAATTTTGATTATGGAAGGAGAAAATGTTTGTTTCATAGAATTTTACAGCACAGAAGGCTATCCGTCCCTTGCCAGCTCTTTGAAAGAGCTACCAAATAGTCCCACTTCCCACTCTTACTCCATAGCCCTGAACCTTTTTTCCTTTTGAAGTACCTATCCATTTCCCCTTTTGAAAGCCATTATCGAATCTGCTTCCACGCCCTTTGAGACAGTGCATTCCAGATCGTAACAACTCTTTGGGTAAACAAACTGCTCATCTCCCCTCTGGTTCTTTTCTAGAACAAGTTAGATTTCTGTTAAGAAATAATATCTGGGGATACAGTATATAGTTTGGGGGGACATGACAATTCAAGCGACTGCCAGAATGGTGGAAGGCCAACTGGAAATTCTTATGCTCTTATGGCAGGGCAACAAATCCACTTGAACCTTGGAGAACCAACAGCAGTTATTAATAATAACTATCAGTTACAGATTCTGTTTGGCAGAATGTGTGGTTCTGGAGGTTGTGACTCTAACATGAAATGAAGAGAGCAGCAATTTGTCTAAGGAAATGATAGAATGAGACCCAGGGATGGGGTTTACTGTGATGAGAGGCTGGGTAGACTTGGGTTATATCTAGGAATTCCGTGTGTAAGTGGGATGCATGGAATTCTTAGTTGGGTTTGTATACTCTAAAGCACAGTGATGGGTTTCCGCACATATCAGACACCCGACTGACTATAAAAAAGGGATAGACTGTGAGGCAGTTGGTAAGTAAAATAGGCTTAAACATTGTGGTTTTTGGAGTAAAGTTTCTTCAATGATGAAGACAGACAGCACTATTACTGGTTGCCTCGAGATGGCGATGTGGGTCCAACCATTGCAAGGAGTTGGACACTGATCTGTTTACCATTAAATTGGGAACCAGTTAAATTGTATTATTGCAGGAAGTATAAACACTTGCTCTTAATTACATCAATTGCTGATTTGGTTTACATCATGTATTTATATTAGAATGGTTTACAAAATTAGAAAGACATTTGGTTCTGTTCCAAACCGAAGGGCAGACAGAGAGACAGACAGACCTGTGAAACCCTGGTTCAGAGTGTTTGACCGTGAAGACTTGATTATTGCACTTAATAATAATAATAATCCTTGCATTTGATTTTGCGCCTTCGAGATGTCTCAAAACTCTTCATAGAATATACCGTAAAGTGAACTGACTGTATTTTGTGGGCAAACAGCAGTGTCCCAGATGTGAGTGGGGGCCACATATCTCTCTGCCCCCCTTCCTCCCCCACCCCTCACCAATCCCTCTCGTGTGGCTCTCTGTACGGCAGCCCAAGGCACTGGAAAACATCCCTCTCAGTTGGGGTGGACAGGGGGAGGCCGCGGCTGATTTTGGTCGCTCCACTCCTCAGCACGTCACGGTTCAGAGAATGTTCCGAGAGACTCATTTGTTTGGTCTTGGCCAACGCCCGCATGGAGCGGTTAAAGTGTGCCGAGCCGGTGAAGTACAGGAGGGCGCAGGCCAGCTCGCTATGTGGCACCACAATGATGTCTAGCCGCCGGTGTCGCTGTCCCGGCAAACGGCAAACTCCCAGGTACTTCTGCTGCTTCCCACTGTCCTGCCACAACAGGTCATCAGTCAGGAAACCTGAGACAGAATGAGACACAGGAAAGTGAGAGAGTGAAAGACAAGAGTGCAAAAGTGAGTGAGAGGGTAAAAGAGAGCGCGGAGTGTAAGAGAGAGAGCATGTGAGAGTGGGGGAGTGAGGATGCAGGAATGAGACAGTAAGAAAAGAGGAATTAGCGAGTGACAAGAGTGAAGGGAGTGAGAGAGACGAGAATAAAATAGAGAGGAAAGTGAGAGGAGCAGAGAGGGAGAGAGAAAGAATGAGGAGTAAATGAGTGAGAGTGAGGGAATTGGGGGAGTAAGAGAGTGATGAGAGTGAAAGTGAGGGAGGAGAGAATGAGGAGATTGAGTGGGGGGTGAGAGAAAGTGAGAGTGTGGAGTCAATGGTTTGGCAGGAAGGAGGCAGAGTAGGGCTGATCGCAGTAAAACTCGATGACGTTACCACTCGCTCGCAGAGCACTGAGGATTTTGCTGAAGACACCGCAGTGAGACCTGCCATCGGGGTGAGTGACCAGGACGTCCACGTCCCCGCAGGTGGGCTTCCCGCGCCGGAACGAGCCGCACGCCATCGCCAGCAGCCCCTCGTTCACCCCCAGCGCCGCCTCCCGCACCTGTAACAGTAGTAACATCTCAATACAGGAACTAAGTGTCATAATCCTCCTGGGGGGGTGGGGGTCAGTCTGACCTGGGGCGGGAGAGACAGTGGGGATCAGGCAGGGGTGGGGAGGAAATACAAAGCTCCAGAAAGTGTGTACCTGCTGCTCGATCTCGGCAGCCTCCGCCCTCGGCATCCGCTCCCGGAAATCGTGGTAATGTTTTAGGCCGATTCTCTGCTGTTTGGTCAGACTGGCCTTTTCCTGTATGTCATCCAGGGTCCTGAACCCCTGAAACACACACGATGGAGAGACAGAGAGCAGGGAATGGGGTTAGAGAGCTCCAGTGGGGGAGCGAGCCCCAGCACAGATACGATGGGGAGAGAGAGAGAGAGCAGGGAATGGGGTTAGAGTGGAGAGGTTCTTGTGTGTAACTCACCTGTTGGTACCACATCTGGGCTGTTTTGGACCCGGCTCCCCAGATGTTGCTGAAGGTTTCCAGCACGGCGACGCTCTGGCTGATGAAGTCCAGTTGGCGCAGGTGGCCACTCTCTAGGATCTCCTGGATCTTCTCCGCCATCCGCTTGCCGATTCCTGGGATCCCACAGGCCTCCTGCCAAGCAGAGAGAGAGGACTGAAGTGGGAATAATCCGAAGGCATCTCAGCAATTCCTGCGCTCCTAGGGGTGTTATCCTACGTGAATGCGCTTCGGAAACACAACTGAAGAGTCCTGTAGCTCAGCGGTTAGAGCCCTCGTCTTTCAAGTGAGAGGACCTCGAGTTCAATTCCCGGGCAGGGCGAAATGTTAGGCAAGCTTCCTTACTCCCCACACCTCTGTTTACCTAGATGTGAGTTGGAACCCTGGGGTTAATTGATTGGCATTTCGCCCACAAAATATATATTCAATCCATTTTACAATATATTCTGTGAAGTGCTTTGAGACATCTCAAAGACGTGATAAGGCGCTATACTGACTGTGTTACTTTGTGGGCAAAATGCGGCAGCCAATTGCGCACAACAATATCCCATAAACAGTCATGGATTGAATGACCACATTTATTTTGAGGGATTATTACCCCCGGAAAGTGATCCACTAATCAGTTGACAACAGGGTTCCTACTAATTGCTAGGTAAACAGAGGCGTGTGGAGTAAGGAAGTTTGCCTAAGGATTCGCTCTGCCTGGGAATCGAACCCAGGTCCTTTACACCCGCGCTGTTTCATGTTACACAGAGAGTAGCAACGCAGTGTAGAGGCAGATTGTGAGCAAATTAATGATGAGCTAGTGAGCCAGGGAGACAGAGAGCGAGAGAGAGACAGTCAGAGAGAGAGAGAGAAACAGAGACACAGAGAGAATTATGTCATGTGTGTACGTGGGTGTCAGATGGTGCTTTTCCCTGTGTGTGTGTTTGCTCAGCCACTGCCTGTGCTGTGGTCAGGTTAAGGGGAGGCACAGGCAGTGTGACTGTACCTGGTAGGAGGTGACAAGCTTTGGGTGGCTCTTTAGGGCATTGATGGCCTTGGAGTAGCCCAGCGCCCGCCAGCGGTCTCCCTGCTGTGTGTACGCGTTGCCCAGCATGGCCAGCTTGTCTGTCAGCTGCTGATTGTGGTTCAGTTTCTTGCTGTCAGATGACTGGGCACAGACCCACCCACTGCTCAGGGTGGGAGAGAGGGTGGGGGAGGAGGTGGGGGCATGGCTGTGGGGGTCAGACCGGCTCTGCCCTGAGATTAGTGCTTCCAGGTCACTATCCAAGACTCTGCCCTCCTCACCGTCACTTTCATTCTCACCTTCAGAAAACTGTTGAGAAACAGAAAAGAGTCACAGCACCACAGCTCAGAGCCCAGAGCCCCACAGCTCAGAGCCCAGAGCTCCACAGCCCAGAGCCTCACACCCATAGCCCCACAGCTCAGAGCTCCACACCCACAGCCCCACAGCTCAAAGCCCCACAGCTCAGAGCCCACCGCCCCACAGCTCAGAGCCCCACAGCCCAGAGCCCACAGCTAAGAGCCCAGACCCCCACAGGTCACAGGCTCACAGCCCCGCGCCTCACAGCCCCATAGTTCATCTCATCCAGTCACAGGATGCAATTCTCGCTGTGTGTTACTGATCTCAGCCTCACTCTGTGTGTTACTGATCTCAGCCTCACTCTGTGTGTTACTGATCTCAGCCTCACTCTGTGTGTTACTGATCTCAGCCTCACTCTGTGTGTTACTGATCTCAGCCTCACTCTGTGTGTTACTGATCTCAGCCTCACTCTGTGCTAGCCCAGATTGAGAGGAGGAGCAGCACCTGTGTGGAGCCTGTGTGACCCTGGCTGGCGCCTGGTGCCGGTGTCTCTGGAGGTTGGTGTGTGAGAGGCTGCTGGTCACAGCTGGTGCTGGGCTGGCTTTGTGTGTTTTGCAGCGGGGAGGGACCAGGTTCCGGGCCCGGAGGCTGAGGCCGTGACGGCACAGACAGGCAGTAATCGGCGGTGCTCACGGCTCTCTTCTCGGAGATACACAAGCTCAGCCAGGAGGACCTGACCAGCTGCACGCCCACGGGCACTGGCCACACCTTCAGGAGGCGTAGTGCCCGCTCACACTCCACCCCGTCATCCAGGATCACATGAGTAACCCCGGGGGAGAGCGCAGGCCATACACTGCCCCCGTTCTGGGAGATCTGCTTCTGGAAGATTTCCATCCGTGCCTTCCCGATTCCTGCTGGGATGATGTAGGCGGTGACACCACTCAGCCAGGAGCCTGAGGAACAGAGCAGCAGCACCAGTCACTCACACAGCCATCATCTATAGGGTGTCCACAAAGTCCTGTTACCCCCAATGTGTGTGTGTTTTTTTTCTACAGTGCTCAGACCAACAACTGAAACATGGGGTAGAATGTTGATAGTTGTATTTAGAAGTACTTAATTAATAATAATACTCCTTGCATTTGATATAGCGCCTTATTATGTCTTTGAGACGTCTCAAAGCGCTTCACAGAATATACTGTAAAGTGAATTGACTGTATATTTTGGGGATGAAACACAGCAGCCAATTACGCAGTGTCCCACAAACAATTATGGATTGAGTGACCAAATTATTATTATTTTTGAAGGGATTATTATAGAAAACGATCAGGCAATCGACTAATAACTTGGTTCCTACTTACTGCTAGGTAAACAGAGGTGTGTGGAGGAAGGAAACTTGCCCAATGTTTCACCCGGCCCGGGAATCAAATCCAGATCCTCTCGTTTGCGAGGCGAGTGCTCTAACCACTGAGCTACAGGACTTCCAAATTGTATTTAGTACAAGTATTTAACTGTATTTAGACATCCAGAGGATCAGTGAGTGTGTGTATGTGTGTACATGTGTAAGTGAGCTTCATCATTTTCGTGGCAGATACTGATGTTCGGTGGTTGTTTGCCATGTTCAGTGCAACATGTGCCCTGAGGAGGAGGCGTGGAGGCAGGATATGCTGTGAGTGAGTTTGCCATTACTGTGACCAGCCTGACTGTGGGCGAGGACTTACCTTTAATCTCGCCGCCCGCTTTCGCTCTCTTTACTGGCTCCGCGCTGTTTGCCGTGGGCACGGCTGGCGATCGCTTCACTTTCCGAAAGGCTTTTACGATGCCCTGTGGCTCCATCCCCCGCCGCTGGCAAAGCTGTCAGACCCGGTCTGGGCGTCTCTTTCTGTAAGTGTTTATATTGTCTTCATCCACCCAGCGGCCCTCCCACACCCCCCTCCCCGCTGCTTACCTCTTCCTTATTTACTGCAGAAAATGTACATAAGAACATAAAAAATAGGAGCAGGAGGAGGCCATTCAGCCCCTCGAGCCTGTGCCCCGCCATTTAATAAGATCATGGCTGATCTTCTAACCTAATCCCATTTACCCGCTCTGTCCCCACATCCCGTAATCCCTTCAGGGTTCAAAAATCTATTGATACTTTCGCTCACAAAATACAGTCACTACACCTTACAGTACACTCTGTGAAGCGCTTTGGGACGTCTCAGTAACGTGATAGGGCGCGATATCTAATGCCAAGTATTATTATTATTATTTATTATCACTATATAAATACATTTACCTCAGATACACCACATCCACCACTGCACAATGTCTATAACGTACAGAATAACTATATAATAATAATAATAATGTAAACAATGTACAGATTCGGTGCTGTGGCTCAGCGGCCGCTCTGACCTGAGCCCTGGTTTCCGGTCGCCCGCTCACACCGGAAATAGCTGCAGCACTTCCGGGCCGTGAGGGTCAGCCTCTGATAACCGGCTTGTATCTTGTTGTCAAGGTAACCAGGGGGCGGGGCTTTCAGGATGACCAGGCGGCGGGTTGTCATGGTAACCAAGGGGGCGGGGACTTTTGGTTGATTGGGGGCGGGGCTGTAACCAGGGTAACGGTAAAGATGGCGGCGCTGAGCTGGAGTCAGAGACTGAGAGAAACACAGAGAAACGGATTCATTGAGACCGGTAATATATACTAAATATACACCGTCCTGTGTGTGTTCATAATGTCCTGTGTATAACACAGTATACACCGACCTGCGTGTTCATAATGTCCTGTGTATAACATACAGTATACACTGTCCTGTGTGTTTATAATGTCCTGTGTATGACATACAGTATACACCGTACTGTATGTGTTCGTAATGTTCATTATAAACACACACAGTACGGTGTATACTGTGTTATACACAGGACATTATAAACACACACAGGACGGTGTATACTGTATGTTATACACAGGACATTATAAACACACACAGGACGGTGTATGTTCTGTGTATAATGTTCTGTGTATAACACAGTATACACCGTCCTGTGTGTGTTTATAATGTCCTGTGTATAACACAGTATACACCGTCCTGTGTGTGTTTATAATGTCCTGTGTATAACACAGTATACACCGTACTGTGTGTGTTTATATCACCCTCGGAGAGTTTAGGGGGAGGTCGGGTCGGTGGAGGAGGTGAGAGCCGTGAGATTTTAGACGTTGATGAGAGCCTAAGAGTATGGCCTCCGTTTTGTCAACGTTCAGCTGAAGGAAATTTGCGCTCATTCAACTGCTGAGATCTGACAGGAGAACATCGGGGAACTGGGGGCGAGGGACTGGTTGATGACGTTACCCAGTAGTGGGCAGAGGAGGGGGAGCTGGGTGACCAGCAAGTTGGTGGGGAGGGGGTCGAGGCAGCAGGTGGTGGGTTTCATGGAGGTGATGGAGGGTGAGAGGGAGGAGGGAGAGATGGGGAGGAAGGAATGTAGGAAGGGGGTGGTGGTCGGAGCAGATGATGGGGAGGGTGACAGGGACAGAGAGGGCATGGTGGTGGGTGACAAGGGGCAGGTGGATGAGGCTGCCTGGTGGATGTTAAGTATTTTAGAAGAAAAGAAGTCCATGACCTCCTCACACTTGGCATTTGATACGAAGATTGAGGGCCCTGAGGGGGGGCACGGAGGAGGTAGTGGGTGGTGGAAAAAAGGATTTTTGGGTTGTGTTTAGCCTCCAAGATGATGTTGGTGTAGAAGGCCATTGTTGCACGAGTCAAAGAACGCGTTAGCTGTAGAGATGCTCGAGCCACAGTTGGCGGTGGACTGTCAGGCCAGTTTTCCACCATCTGTGCTCGAGCAGCCGGGTTTGGGTTTTTTGGCGACGGAGATTGTTCTTGTACGAAGGGGATCGGGTGGGATTGGAGATGGTCCTGGATTTCAGGGGGACGAGGGAGTTGAAGGTGGAGGAGAGGCGATCATGGAGCAGCTGGACGGCTGCTTCAGGATCTCCACGGGCAGAAGGCCAGAGGGATAGGATGTTTGATGATGAGAGGGCCCTTGTGAGGGTCTCAGGAGGCAGCCTTTTCCAAGGGCGGTAGAGGATAGTTGAGGGCTTGGTGGAGGAGAGAGGGATGTGAGAGGAGAAGGAGATGAAAAAGTGGTCCGAGATGGCCTTGTCCACTATGCTGAGGTCGGAAATGTCAAGGCCGTGGGTGATGACAAGGTTTAGGGAGGAGAGGAGGGCAGTGAAATTGGCAGAAGTGGTGCCAGGGGAGTTCAGTGGGACGGCATCAGCCCTCAGGCTCAGCCTCCCAGGTCATGGCCGAGTGGCAGTGGCTGTCCGGCCAGTGTGGTGGGTGTAGTTGTTGGTTTTTTAAAAAAATTAACTGTGACGTCATTTTGTGAAACGCATCCACCCCCTCACTTACCCCCTCCCCACCCCCTCACTTACCCCCTCCCCACCCCCTCACTTACCCCTCCCCACCCCCTCACTTACCCCCTCCCCACCCCTCACTTACCCCTCCCCACCCCCTCACTTACCCCCTCCCCACCCCCTCACTTACCCCCTCCCCACCCCTCACTTACCCCCTCCCCACCCCCTCACTTACCCCCTCCCCACCCCCTCACTTACCCCTCCCCACCCCTCATTTACCCCCTCCCCACCCCCTCACTTACCCCCTCCCCACCCCCTCACTTACCCCCTCCCCACCCCCTCACTTACCCCCTCCCCACCCCCTCACTTACCCCCTCCCCACCCCCTCACTTACCCCCTCCCCACCCCCTCACTTACCCCCTCCCCACCCCCTCACTTACCCCCTCCCCACCCCTCACTTACCCCTCCCCACCCCCTCACTTACCCCCTCCCCACCCCCTCACTTACCCCCTCCCCACCCCTCACTTACCCCCTCCCCACCCCCTCACTTACCCCCTCCCCACCCCCTCACTTACCCCCTCCCCACCCCCTCACTTACCCCCTCCCCACCCCTCACTTACCCCCTCCCCACCCCTCACTTACCCCCTCCCCACCCCCTCACTTACCCCCTCCCCACCCCCTCACTTACCCCTCCCCACCCCTCACTTACCCCCTCCCCACCCCCTCACTTACCCCTCCCCATCCCCTCACTTACCCCCTCCCCACCCTCTCACTTACCCCCTCCCCACCCCCTCACTTACCCCCTCCCCGCCCCCTCACTTATCCCTGCCCCGCCCCCTCACCCCGCGCCCCGCCTCCTCACTTACCTCCGCCCCACCCCGCCCCCTCGAAAACAAAACAATTATAAATTGATCATTTTCAATCCATGACTGTTTGTGGGACACTGCTGTGCGCAATTGGCTGCCACATTTTCACCCACAAATGTGCGATCAATTCACTTTGCAGTATGTTCTGTGAAGCGCTTTGGGACGTCCTGGGGGATGCTCCCTCCTACCTCTCCAACCTACTATCCCCCTACCTACCTGCCCGTACCCTCCGTTCCTCCGGCTCCGGTCTGCTCCACGTCCTCCGCCCCAACCGCCCTACTATCGGTGGTCGGGCCTTCAGCCTCTCAGCCCCGAGGCTCTGGAACTCCATCCCAGTGCCTTCGCCGCTTCCTCCCTTTCCTCCTTCAAGGCCGGTCTCAAAACCTTTCTCTTTGACCTTCAGCCTTCAGCTCCACTCTCGACTCTCTACCCCCTCCTCGCTCCCTCCCTTCCCTCCCCTCACCCTGACCATTTCCCCCCTCCTCGCTCCCTCCCCTCCCCTCCCCTGACCATTTCCCCCCTCCTCGCTCCCTCCCTTCCCTCCCCTCCCCTGACCATTTCCCCCCTGCTCGGGTCATGACCCAAATGTGCAGCGCCTTGGGACGTCCTCCTGACGTGAAAGGCGCTTTATAAATGGAATCTTGTTGTTGTTGTTGTCCTCCCGACGTGAAAAATGCTATATCAAATGCAAGGATTATTATAATAGTATATAATATAACTGTACATTATGCACAACACTGTATATATTCTGTACAAGCTGTAACTGTTGCAGCTTTGCTTGCAACCAAAGGATCCAATACGGAATGTAGATTGACACACAGACATTTCTTCTTTATACTCAGCTGGGAGGACTTCTGCGGGAGGACTCCTTTTGGGAGGACACAGTGGGAGGACTCCTTTTGAGAGGACTCCTGTCAAAGCTACACTAACCGAAGGAGTTTACTGTGATCCAGCAGGTCCTTGAGTTATTGCAAGGCTTCCGTGTAGATGACATTTTCAGTTTTTCCTCCTTCGGCCATGATGTACAGGTTTTCAGATGAACCCACATGTGAGCATCCAACATAGAACTGGCCTTGGGAAACACAGGGTATATTCAAGAAAATGGCAGCAACCTTTAAGCTCTGCCCCTGTGCCTTGTTAATTGACATGGTAAAGCATAGTCAAACAGGCAATTGGAGCCTTTTGAACTCAAACGGGCAGTCCCTTGGGAGCGGTGGAATGAGAGGAATGAATACGTCTTTGCCTTCTTTGTTCTTCAGTTTAATTTAATCGGCCTTCTCTCTTTTGTCTGGCATTTTTATTTGTCCTTGAAAGGCTTGATCTTCGCTTCTTAGGTATCTCCCCCTAAGATTAAGAAAATGTGCTATTGGGAGGACTCCTATTGGGAGGACTGAGTGGGAGCACTGGTGGTTGGGAGTACTCCTGTTGGGAGGACTGTAGCTCCCATGACAACCCGAAAAACCTGCCATGCATTTGTTGCAGAATATATTAGTAGAGATTTATCTCTTTACAACTGTGAGTGATTTCCTCTGTTGCTGCTTTGTTGCAGAATACCACACCTAGCTCTTATTTTGGGGCTTAATTAAAGGATTTTCTAAATATAGCTCATGACGATAGGAGATCCCTGAAAAAAAATGCCCATGACATTCCCGCATGCAAGACCAACGTCAGTCGGTTATTGCATTATTGTCGGAAACGCAGACTAGACACACACACACAGACATTTTGTCTTATTAGTATAGATTATATGATATAATGTATACCCTATATTATACACAGTGTATATACTGTACATAATAGTAAACAATATATACTATATGAATGTATATATACTCTATAACAGTATACGATGTGTACTCTATATATAATACAATACTAAATGTAACAATCAGTCTAATGTATATTGTATATTTAAAGCGCTCTGAGACGCCGTCCGGCTTGAAGGGCGCTATATAAATCCAAGTTGTGTGTATATATATATATACTGTCATTCACTCTCTCTGAGTCACTCACTCTGTGTCACTCACTCCGTGTCACTCTGTCATTCTCTGTGTCACTCAGTGTCACTCTCTTAGTGTCACTCACTCTGTGTCACTCTCTCTGTCACTCTCAGTGTCACTTTCTCAGTGTCACTAATTCTATCACTCTCTCAGTGTCACTCTCTCAGTGTCACTCACTCTGTGTCACTCTCAGTTTCACTCACTGTGTCACTCTTAGTGTCACTCTCAGCGTCACTCACTCTGTGTCACTCTCTCTGTGTCACTCACTCGGTGTCACCCTCTCTGTGTCACTCACTCGGTGTCACTCACTCGGTGTTGCTCACACACCCCTGTACCGATGCCTGTATCCAGTGTTTCTCCTATTTGTCCCCAGGACGGAGGAAAGTCCATTATCTGTTTCCTGACGGGAAGGAGATGGCAGAAGAGTACGATGTCACCACCGATCAGCTCCTGGGTACGTGACGTCATGTTCACCACAGCCACCCACTGCCTTGGCTTCTCTGTGAGGTTTGGACCGGGGAGTCAGAGCAATGATAACAATAAAAATAATCTTTGCATTTAATATATAATCTCACATTGGTGAAATGTCTCAAAGCACTTCACAGTAATTCCTGTGAAGTGCAGTGACTGTGTATTTGTCGCACTTGATAGAAATCTAAAAAGGAGTAAACTACAGGCGTGTGTGGGGTGGGGAGAGCCGCTAAATGAGACTGAAAGGATTGCTTGTTAAAAGAGCAGCACAGACAGGATGGCCGTATGGCTGCCTTCCGTGCTGTAACTCCGGGTTGTTTTGTGCTGTCTCCTTGTAGTGAGGAAATGGAGGGTGAGGAACGCGCTCGGAGCCCGAGGACAGTGGCAGTTGGAGGTGGGTGAGGAGGTCTCCCGTCCAGCCGGAGGCCTGGAGCAACAGCTCATCCAGGAGAGCAGCAGTAATGTGAGTGACAGAGAGAGAGAGAGAAGGCAGCGGGGGAGTGGGGGGACGCAAGTGGGACTGAGCTGGCTCCATCACAGGCTTTGCAACACAATGTTGGCATAAAGTCCACCATCTGTGCCGGTCTCTCGTCCGGTTGCTGAGCCGGGAGGGGCCACAGTATCCCAGAGCACTCACTGTTGATGGCAGCACAGCCCGGCCCGGCTCATCAGCAGGACCTGGAAGGGCCGACCGGTCGCTGGGGGCCGGGAATCCTCCCCCTCAGCTCCTGGTAACCCCACAGCCAAAGCCCTAACAGGAGGGTGGTCCTCGCTGGACAAGTGGTGGGAAACTTGCCAGACAGCTCTCTCGATGGCAAGCTTTGTGGTTTTAGACTCCAGGAGTTAAACCACCTCACACACACACACACACACACACACACACAGACATACACACACAGCAAATGACTGACCGGGGTGTTGATTTGCTTCAGTAACGGCTGTGATTTATATTTGAATTGATTGCAGCCAATTTTCATGAGGAAAGACACAAAGAGTAGCTTCCAATGGAGGATCCGGAACCTTCCGTACCCCAAGAATGTGTACAGTGTGACGGTGGAGCCCGAACACAGACGCTGCCTCGTCAAAACCTCCAACAAAAAGTAATAAGATTCTTCATAGCCGCGTGTTAGTGAGTAAGTGGGTGGGTGGGCGATGGAGGGAGGGAGGGAGGGAGGGAGGGAGGGATGGATGCTTCAAACCACAGACAGCAGGTGGCGCTCTTGTTCTGTTTGGATGAGTTAAACCCCTGGAATTTCCCTCCTTCCTCCCTCTGTGACCTGCTAATGCCATATCAACCTGTCCTCTCCCTCCTTTCAGCGGGCTCCAGCCTGCTCCACGTCCCCTGCACCGCCCAGACCACCATCAGAGGTCGGGCCTTTAGCCTCTCTGCCTTCACCTTTGGGAACATCATCTCAGAGTCCCTTCACCTCGCTCCCTTAATAATCCCTTAAAAAAATAATGTGAACACTCAAACCATGACTGTTTGTGGGACACTGCTGTGTGCAATTGGGATCCACATATCGGCCACAAAATACACAGTCACTACACTTCAGAGTGTATTTTGTGAAGTGCTTTGAGACTTCACAAACAATGTGATAAGGCACTATATCAAATGCAAGGATTATTATTATTACACTCGTTCATTCAAAATACCAGGAAATCTCAGCCAGTAGGCAGCAACTGGGGCAATGTGGAGCTGAGTGTTGGAGACATCAAACCAAGTCTGTGTCTGTTCAGGTGGACGTTAAAGACCCCAAAACAACTGCAAAAGAGAAGGGAGTTTCTGTCTCCCGTTGTCCTGGCTGACAGCACCCATTTTGATTGGTCATTCACTCCGTGGCTGTTTGTAGTACATTGCTCTGTGCAAATTTTCGCCCAAAAGCACACAGTGACTACACTTTACAGGACATCCTGTGAACTGCTTTGGGACATCCTCCTGACGTGAAAGGCCTGTATCTGATGTAAGGATAACAATTATCCCTGATCCTGACACGGTGTGAGGACTGGTCACATGTCAGGAACACTTTGCTGAGTGTCGGGTCCTACCTGGAGCCTGTGTGAGTTGCTGGCCACGTTTTCAGCCACTCCGCCCCAAAATGCTGGAACACTCTTCCTCTATCCCTTCACTTCACCCCCTCCTTTCCCATCTTCAGGTCATGCCTGAAGACCTTCCTCTTCGACCGTGTCTACGATCACTTCCCCCGGCTCACTGTTAAGCGCTCAGAGATGCAACCATGCGTCAGAGGGATGCTGTGTAAATGCAAGTTGTTGTTGTTAGCGCCTGGTGTTTGAGTGTGTAACCAATGTGCTGTGTTTGTTGCTGTGTGAATGGGAGGCACGAGTGAGGGCTCTGACACCAAGGCGCCCGCCCTCGTGGTGATGATTGTATCTCGCCCAGTAACGCAACTCTGCTGTGTCCGGCAGGTATTACAAGTCGTTTGACATTGCGGATATGGACCGGTGCCAACTCCCACTAGAGAGCTCAGCGCTGAGCTTCACACATGCCAACAACACCCTGATCATCTCTGTGAGTACTCACACACCCACACACTCATTCACACACACTCACACCCGCAAAACGGCACAGCACTGACACAGCCTCAGGTCTGGCCGGGGGATCATGAGCCGCCCAGTCTAACTCCCACTTGGTCCTCACTCCCTGCAATACTCTTCCTCTCTGAACCCATTTTACTCCACAGGCCTGTTTATGTAGCAGTAAGTAGGAACCCGGTTATTCATCAACCAGAGGAGGACACAGTGGGAGGACTCCTTTTGAGAGGACTCCTGTCAAAGCTACACTAACCGAAGGGGTTTACTGTGATCCAGCAGGTCCTTGAGTTATTGCAAGGCTTCCGTGTAGATGACATTTTCAGTTTTTCCTCCTCCGGCCATGATGTACAGGTTTTCAGATGAACCCACATGTGAGCATCCAACATAGAACTGGCCTTGGGAAACACAGGGTATATTCAAGAAAATGGCAGCAACCTTTAAGCTCTGCCCCTGTGCCTTGTTAATTGACATGGTAAAGCATAGTCAAACAGGCAATTGGAGCCTTTTGAACTCAAACGGGCAGTCCCTTGGGAGCGGTGGAATGAGAGGAATGAATACGTCTTTGCCTTCTTTGTTCTTCAGTTTAATTTAATCGGCCTTCTCTCTTTTGTCTGGCATTTTTATTTGTCCTTGAAAGGCTTGATCTTCGCTTCTTAGGTATCTCCCCCTAAGATTAAGAAAATGTGCTATTGGGAGGACTCCTATTGGGAGGACTGAGTGGGAGCACTGGTGGTTGGGAGTACTCCTGTTGGGAGGACTGTAGCTCCCATGACAACCCGAAAAACCTGCCATGCATTTGTTGCAGAATATATTAGTAGAGATTTATCTCTTTACAACTGTGAGTGATTTCCTCTGTTGCTGCTTTGTTACAGAATACCACACCTAGCTCTTATTTTGGGGCTTAATTAAAGGATTTTCTAAATATAGCTCATGACGATAGGAGATCCCTGAAAAAAAATGCCCATGACATTCCCGCATGCAAGACCAACGTCAGTCGGTTATTGCATTATTGTCGGAAACGCAGACTAGACACACACACACAGACATTTTGTCTTATTAGTATAGATTATATGATATAATGTATACCCTATATTATACACAGTGTATATACTGTACATAATAGTAAACAATATATACTATATGAATGTATATATACTCTATAACAGTATACGATGTGTACTCTATATATAATACAATACTAAATGTAACAATCAGCCTAATGTATATTGTATATTTAAAGCGCTCTGAGACGCCGTCCGGCTTGAAGGGCGCTATATAAATCCAAGTTGTGTGTATATATATATATACTGTCATTCACTCTCTCTGTGTCACTCACTCTGTGTCACTCACTCCGTGTCACTCTGTCATTCTCTGTGTCACTCAGTGTCACTCTCTCAGTGTCACTCACTCTGTGTCACTCTCTCTGTCACTCTCAGTGTCACTTTCTCAGTGTCACTTAATCTATCACTCTCTCAGTGTCACTCTCTCAGTGTCACTCACTCTGTGTCACTCTCAGTTTCACTCACTGTGTCACTCTCAGTGTCACTCTCTCAGCGTCACTCACTCTGTGTCACTCTCTCTGTGTCACTCACTCGGTGTCACCCTCTCTGTGTCACTCACTCGGTGTCACTCACTCGGTGTTGCTCACACACCCCTGTACCGATGCCTGTATCCAGTGTTTCTCCTATTTGTCCCCAGGACGGAGGAAAGTCCATTATCTGTTTCCTGACGGGAAGGAGATGGCAGAAGAGTACGATGTCACCACCGATCAGCTCCTGGGTACGTGACGTCATGTTCACCACAGCCACCCACTGCCTTGGCTTCTCTGTGAGGTTTGGACCGGGGAGTCAGAGCAATGATAACAATAAAAATAATCTTTGCACTTAATATATAATCTCACATTGGTGAAATGTCTCAAAGCACTTCACAGTAATTCCTGTGAAGTGCAGTGACTGTGTATTTGTCGCACTTGATAGAAATCTAAAAAGGAGTAAACTACAGGCGTGTGTGGGGTGGGGAGAGCTGCTAAATGAGACTGAAAGGATTGCTTGTTAAAAGAGCAGCACAGACAGGATGGCCGTATGGCTGCCTTCCGTGCTGTAACTCTGGGTTGTTTTGTGCTGTCTCCTTGTAGTGAGGAAATGGAGGGTGAGGAACGCGCTCGGAGCCCGAGGACAGTGGCAGTTGGAGGTGGGTGAGGAGGTCTCCCGTCCAGCCGGAGGCCTGGAGCAACAGCTCATCCAGGAGAGCAGCAGTAATGTGAGTGACAGAGAGAGAGAGAGAAGGCAGCGGGGGAGTGGGGGGACGCAAGTGGGACTGAGCTGGCTCCATCACAGGCTTTGCAACACAATGTTGGCATAAAGTCCACCATCTGTGCCGGTCTCTTGTCCGGTTGCTGAGCCGGGAGGGGCCGCAGTGTCCCAGAGCACTCCCTGCTGATGGCAGCACAGCCCGGCCCGGCCCATCAGCAGGACCTGGAAGGGCCGACCGGTCGCTGGGGGCCGGGAATCCTCCCCCTCAGCTCCTGGTAACCCCACAGCCAAAGCCCTAACAGGGAGGGTGGTCCTCGCTGGACAAGTGGTGGGAAACTTGCCAGACAGCTCTCTCGATGGCAAGCTTTGTGGTTTTAGACTCCAGGAGTTAAACCACCTCACACACACACACACACACACACACACACAGACATACACACACAGCAAATGACTGACCGGGGTGTTGATTTGCTTCAGTAACGGCTGTGATTTATATTTGAATTGATTGCAGCCAATTTTCATGAGGAAAGACACAAAGAGTAGCTTCCAATGGAGGATCCGGAACCTTCCGTACCCCAAGAATGTGTACAGTGTGACGGTGGAGCCCGAACACAGACGCTGCCTCGTCAAAACCTCCAACAAAAAGTAATAAGATTCTTCATAGCCGCGTGTTAGTGAGTAAGTGGGTGGGTGGGCGATGGAGGGAGGGAGGGAGGGATGGATGGATGCTTCAAACCACAGACAGCAGGTGGCGCTCTTGTTCTGTTTGGATGAGTTAAACCCCTGGAATTTCCCTCCTTCCTCCCTCTGTGACCTGCTAATGCCATATCAACCTGTCCTCTCCCTCCTTTCAGCGGGCTCCAGCCTGCTCCACGTCCCCTGCACCGCCCAGACCACCATCAGAGGTCGGGCCTTTAGCCTCTCTGCCTTCACCTTTGGAACATCATCTCAGAGTCCCTTCACCTCGCTCCCTTAATAATCCCTTAAAAAAATAATGTGAACACTCAAACCATGACTGTTTGTGGGACACTGCTGTGTGCAATTGGATGCCACATATCGGCCACAAAATACACAGTCACTACACTTCAGAGTGTATTTTGTGAAGTGCTTTGAGACTTCACAACAATGTGATAAGGCACTATATCAAATGCAAGGATTATTATTATTACACTCGTTCATTCAAAATACCAGGAAATCTCAGCCAGTAGGCAGCAACTGGGGCAATGTGGAGCTGAGTGTTGGAGACATCAAACCAAGTCTGTGTCTGTTCAGGTGGACGTTAAAGACCCCAAAACAACTGCAAAAGAGAAGGGAGTTTCTGTCTCCCGTTGTCCTGGCTGACAGCACCCATTTTGATTGGTCATTCACTCCGTGGCTGTTTGTAGTACATTGCTCTGTGCAAATTTCGCCCAAAAAGCACACAGTGACTACACTTTACAGGACATCCTGTGAACTGCTTTGGGACATCCTCCTGACGTGAAAGGCCTGTATCTGATGTAAGGATAACAATTATCCCTGATCCTGACACGGTGTGAGGACTGGTCACATGTCAGGAACACTTTGCTGAGTGTCGGGTCCTACCTGGAGCCTGTGTGAGTTGCTGGCCACGTTTTCAGCCACTCCGCCCCAAAATGCTGGAACACTCTTCCTCTATCCCTTCACTTCACCCCCTCCTTTCCCATCTTCAGGTCATGCCTGAAGACCTTCCTCTTCGACCGTGTCTACGATCACTTCCCCCCGGCTCACTGTTAAGCGCTCAGAGATGCAACCATGCGTCAGAGGGATGCTGTGTAAATGCAAGTTGTTGTTGTTAGCGCCTGGTGTTTGAGTGTGTAACCAATGTGCTGTGTTTGTTGCTGTGTGAATGGGAGGCACGAGTGAGGGCTCTGACACCAAGGCGCCCGCCCTCGTGGTGATGATTGTATCTCGCCCAGTAACGCAACTCTGCTGTGTCCGGCAGGTATTACAAGTCGTTTGACATTGCGGATATGGACCGGTGCCAACTCCCACTAGAGAGCTCAGCGCTGAGCTTCACACATGCCAACAACACCCTGATCATCTCTGTGAGTACTCACACACCCACACACTCATTCACACACACTCACACCCGCAAAACGGCACAGCACTGACACAGCCCTCAGGTCTGGCCGGGGGATCATGAGCCGCCCAGTCTAACTCCCACTTGGTCCTCACTCCCTGCAATACTCTTCCTCTCTGAACCCATTTTACTCCACAGGCCTGTTTATGTAGCAGTAAGTAGGAACCCGGTTATTCATCAACCAGAACATAAGAAATAGGAGCAGGAGATTTGGCCCCTCGAGCCTGCCCCACCATTTAATAAGATCATGGCTGGTCTTCTAACCTAATTGCATTTACCTGTCCTATCCCAATATCCCTTAATCCCTTTAGTTTTTAAACATCTATCGATCTCAGTCTTGAATATGTTCAATGACTGAGTATCCACAGCCTCCGGGGTAGAGAATTCCACAAATTCACTACCCTCTGAGTGAAGAAATGTTTCTTCAACTCAGTTCTAAAGGGCTGAGCTTTAATCTTGAGACTATGACCCCAAGTTTAGATTCTCCAACCGGGGAAACAGTCTCACACTATCTCCCCTGTCAAGGCCCTTAAGAATCTTATAGGCTTCCATAAGATCACATCTAGAGAATATAGGCCTAATTTACTAGTTTATTAGAACCAACCGAGTGAATCTACGCTGCACTCCATCAAAGGCGATTATAACCTTTCTTAGATAAGGAGACCAAAACTGCACACAATATTCCAGGTGGGGTCTCACCAAAGCCCTATACAATAGCAGCAAGACTTCCCTACTCTTGTATTCTAACCCTTTTGCAGTAAACACTAACTTACTATTAGCCTTTCTAGTTGCTTGCTGTACCTGCATACTAACTTTCTGTGACTGGTGTACAAGGACACCTAAATCCCTCTGAACACTAACACTATCTAGTCTCTCCCCCTCTAGAAAATAACCTGCTTTTCTATTTTTTCTACCGAGGTGAATAATGTCACATTTCCCCACATTATATTCCATCTGTCACCTTCTTGCCCACTCACCTCGTCTGTCTATTTCCCTTTGCATCCTCCTTGTGTCCTCCTCACAGCTCACGCTCCCACCGTGAATTTAGATACATTAAGCTCTATTTCCTCATCTAAGTCATTGATATGGACTGTAAACAGTCGAGGCCCAATCACTGATTCTTGTGGCATTCACTTGTCACGACCTGCCAATCTGAGAAGGACCTGTTTATCCCTACTCTCTGTTTTCTGCTTGTTAACCACTCTTCGATCCGTGCTAATATATTACCCTTAATTCCATGAGTCTTAATCTTTAGTAACAACCTTTTGTGTCCACTGGTTCCCCTCTGTCTAACCGGCTAGTTACATCTTCAAAAAACTCTTAAAAGATTTGTTAAACATGATTTCCCTTTTATGAAACCATAATGTATCTAATTGGCCTATCATTTTTCTGGGGGTAATAATGTTTCATGTGAGATACTGCTCTGACGTCTCCATCTTACTGTAGGACAAGTTTCTCCAGGTGTCCTGGCCAGCAATTTGCTGAATTTACATTGAATCCACGAGTGTTTGTGAGACACATCTGTGGTAATTGGCTGCTGCGTTTTGTCCACAAAATATAGTCAATTTACTTTACAGTATATTCTGTGAAGCGCTTCGAAGACATGATAAGGCGCTATATCAAATGCAAGGATGATGATTGTTACTGAATGTCGGAGGGATGTAAGCCCCCCAGTCTCTGCTGCAACAGACTTCAAACAGCGGAATTCCTGAGACACCGCGCACAGGGAGGGGTGTGGGGGCTCCAGCGCGGTCAGAGCGAAGTGGGGGTGAGGGGTTTGTAGTGACCGAGGACACACACTGACGCTGCTGTTGGTTTCTCTTTCAGTATCAGAAACCCAAAGCCATCCTACAGCTGGAGGCTGAGGTGCTGCGGGAACTGAAGAAGATGAAAATGAGCTCAGAGGGCGATGTGGAGTGTAACACACAGTGAGCTCGGAGTGTGGGGTGTAGGGGGAGTGTGAGTAGGGGGGTTAATGAACGTATATATAGTGTTAAACCTGCCATAAGCTCAGGCACCCGCCAGGGTCTCTGCAATCCCACCCTCGGCCTTTAGTAAAGCTGCTCGTTACATGGTGCGTGAACCCTGTGTGGCACTGGCAGAGCGGAGACGTGACAAAGGGATGGAGCTGGAGAGAGGGCGGGTGGGCCGGGCTGTGAGGCCCTGATCCTCCGTTTGACAATATCTTTCATCAAATGAACGTGGGATCTCCAAGCTCTGTGTAACCTTCACTGCAGTCTGATGACCAGAATTATACCCTTACATTTGACTCAATGCTTTTATGTCAGGAGGTAACCACAGGCTTCACAGGATTCAGTGCAAAGTGGAGTGACTGTGTGTTTGTGGGGGTGATGGCTTCTGGTCTGCAACTGGCTGTAACTTCCACATTAGGTTCAAGAATATTAAATAAAGTCTTCTGAAATCTCACAAACGTTCCTCAGAATCGTGGTCCTGCTCACTGTGATCGGGAGAGGAGCTGCTGCTGTCAGACACACTGAATAATAATAATCCTGGCATTTGATACAGCGCCTTATCACATCTTCAAGATGTCTCGAAGTGCTTCACAGAATATACTGTAAAGTGTAGTGATTGTATGTTCTGTAGACGAAACGTGACACTCAATGGCGCACAGCAGTGTCCCATAAACATTCGTGGATTGAGTGACCCAATTTTTTCTCGAGGGATTATTACCCCTGGAAATCAATCCGTCAATCGACTAACGACTGAGTTCCTACATACTGCGAGGTAAACACTCCAGGTGTGGGGAGTAAGGAAACTTGCCTAACATTTCGCCCTGACTGGGAATTGAACCCAGGTCTCTCGCTTGCAAGGCAAGTGCTCTAACCACTGAGCTACAGGATTTCACTTTCATGCTCCATAGGAAGGTGAGAAACAAGTAAATGAGGAGCAAAGAACAAGTAGCAGCAAAATATACAAAATACATTATATAAAATACAGCATCAAATTTATTACAAAGTTCCTCTTTTCTCGAAAAACTTGTCTTTAATAATACACAAGTGGAGCGATTGCTGTCAGTTGGGGCTGGGCTGTGTGTGACGGTCGGGGCTGGGCTGTGTGTGACGGTCGGGGCTGGGCTGTGTGTGACGGTCGGGGCTGGGCTGTGTGTGACGGTCGGGGCTGGGCTGTGTGTGACGGTCGGGGCTGGGCTGTGTGTGACGGTCGGGGCTGGGCTGTGTGTGACGGTCGGGGCTGGGCTGTGTGTGACGGTCGGGGCTGGGCTGTGTGTGACGGTCGGGGCTGGGCTGTGTGTGACGGTCGGGGCTGGGCTGTGTGTGACGGTCGGGGCTGGGCTGTGTGTGACCGTCGTTCAGGTCTGGTGTAACCATCGCTGTTTCTTGAGCTGTGTATCAGCGGCTGCGAAGTCCAGCAGGTAAAGTCCTTGTGCCAGGGCAGCATATAAGTGTGAGGTGGTGAAGCGCAGGCAGTACACAGGGCTGCTCTTGGGTGAGGAGAGGAAAAAGGCCTGGAAGAGACAAGAGTCAGTCAGTCAGTCAGCATCACAGCTCGTCACGGTCACACAGTTACACACACTACAGCACAGACGAAGGGATTGTGGGATGGAGGTCCAGAGTGTGGGGGCAGAGAGGCTGAAAGCCCGGCCACCGATGGTAGGGCGGGTCGGGGAGGAGACATGGAGCAGCCGGAGCCCGCTGAGCAGAAGGAGTGGGCAGGTTGATAGGATGTCAGCAGGTCAGAGAGGTAGGAGGGGGCGAGGCCATGGAGGGCCTTGAAAGTGAGGACCAGGATTTTGAATTCTATCCTCTGGGGAATGGGGAGCCAGTGGAGCCGGGAGAGGGTACAGGTGGTGGGGTCACGGAGCCTGGTGCAGGAGAATACATGAGCTGCAGAATTCTGGATGATCTGCAGCTTGTGATGGGAAGAGCTGGGGAGGGCGACAAGGAGGGGGTTTCCATAGTCGAGCCTTGAGGTGACAAATGCGTGTAACCCTGCTCTGCTCACTCCCCACTGTCTAACCCTGCTCTGCTCACTCCCCACTGTCTAACCCTGCTCTGCTCACTCCCCACTGTCTAACTCAGCGCTGCTCACTCCCCACTGTCTAACCCAGCGCTGCTCACTCCCCACTGTCTAACTCAGCGCTGCTCACTCCCCACTGTCTAACCCTGCGCTGCTCACTCCCCACTGTCTAACCCAGCGCTGCTCACTCCCCACTGTCTAACCCTGCTCTGCTCACTCCCCACTGTCTAACCCTGCTCTGCTCACTCCCCACTGTCTAACCCTGCGCTGCTCACTCCCCACTGTCTAACCCAGCGCTGCTCACTCCCCACTGTCTAACCCTGCGCTGCTCACTCCCCACTGTCTAACCCTGCGCTGCTCACTCCCCACTGTCTAACCCTGCTCTGCTCACTCCCCACTGTCTAACCCAGCTCTGCTCACTCCCCACTGTCTAACCCTGCGCTGCTCACTCCCCACTGTCTAACCCAGCTCTGCTCACTCCCCACTGTCTAACCCTGCGCTGCTCACTCCCCACTGTCTAACCCTGCTCTGCTCACTCCCCACTGTCTAACCCAGCTCTGCTCACTCCCCACTGTCTAACCCTGCTCCCTGCTCCGCTCTACTCTTCACTGTGTAACAGTGCTGTGAGCAAAGCTTTATTGTTGGCTTACAAAATGCATTCTCTGGATTCAATTGATGAATTGCCATAAATCATAATCAATTTATGCCATAACTTGAGTCTGGGTAAGTACCAGACTCGTAGAATGTGTGTGTGGTGGGGGGGGAGGTTTCTTCACAGACCACAGGCTACCACTGTTCTAACCCCTCGATCTGCCTCCACACCCTCCCCCCCCCCCCATCCACACACACACTCATACACATCCTTCTTGCTTTAAGTAACTATCGAATTCTGTTAAAAGAACTGCCCACTCTGCCTCGGCTCAGTTTGTTAAACTCTTGTAAGGTTAAGTACTTCTAAATATAATTATCATCATTCTTCCATGTTTCAGTAGGTGGCCAGTCCATTGAAGAAAACAAACTGTAACAGGTCAGTTTAAACAGTCAAATCCCCTGCGACTGAGACAGAGCCTCACCTGCAGACTCTTGCGCTGCCTTTTGTCCCAGAGACGGACGACACCATAGAGGGAAGAGCCACTGGCGATCATGTAGTTGCCGTCACTCTGCAAACAGTACAGAGCGCTGTCGTGCGGTTCCTCCCACTCCATCACACACTGCCTGCAGGGAACAGAACACACTTTGTGTGATCAGAGCATCACAGTCACAGCAAACCTCACAGCCCTCGCTCACCCCTTCCTCACCTCAAGACAACAACAGCAACAACATATTACATTTACACTTTCATGTCGGGAGGATGTCCCAAGGCCCTGGACAGTCAGGGATTTGGACCCGAGCTTGGGGCTAGGATGAGGAGGGGTTGAGGCCAGAGAGGTGGGGGTAGGAGGGTGACCGAAGGTACAGTCAAAGAGGAGTGTCTTGAGACAGTGAAGGAAGCAAGAGGGAGGGAGCAAGGCGATGGGACTATAGGATGAAGTTCTAGAGGGTGGAGCAAGAAGGCCTGACCGCTGATGGTGGGAAAAGCCAGGCGGGGGACATGGAGCCGAGCGGGGAGTGGACAGTTCGGCATTGAGCCTTTCCTGTTTGACCACACTTTCAGCCATCTTCCTTATCAAAGCGCTTGAAGCCAAAGTCTGACAACTGCTTTTCTCAGGAGTCAAAGTCAGTTTAACAGATTTGATTCAGATATTTACTGTGGAGGTTATACTGATGATTTATTTAATTTTAATCTGGTTGTTATGTCTTAAAATTCTTTTTGGAGATTAATAATAATTTGCTCACTCGATGTGGCACTGTATCAAATGTAAGGATTATTATCATCAAATCTGATTCTGCACAGAGTGCATTTACCTCAGTCCCCCACAAGGCGGCGCCAGTTCTCCACAAAATACTGCACACACACACTCACTGCCCACACCGACGGTCTCTGTGCCCACACAGTGCCTGTACCTGGTGCTGGTCCGCAGGTCCCACTGTCTGATGAAAGTGTCGTACCCACACGTTAGTAAGATAGAGGGCGTCTCGTACAGCAAATCCAGGACCCCCGCTCCCCGCGGGAAGCCCACCCCCAGTGTCTCCTCCAGCTGTCCCCTGAAACAGAGCAGAGCGGGTGCTGAGCCAGGCTGGGGGAGGGGGTGGGAGACCAACACAGAGCAGGCTACTGAGTCATAGAACCAGACCCCAGCGGTGGTCACAGTCACTCACACTCAAAAACACACACTCACTTACACCTCATCACATCAGAGCATCTCCAGCTGTTACAGTAATTGCTGACAAGTGTAGTGACTGTTTTTGACACTGCAGATGTAAGTGTGTGTAAATGTGCACGGGGAGCAGGCAGGCTGAGGGTGTAACTGGCTGAGCCGCACAGAACCGGGGGTTGGGGTGACAATGTAAACGGCGTTGTTTGGGGGAGTGTACTGGTGGGGGAGTGAGGGGGAGGGGGGGGGGGAGGAACAGCTGATAGCCAGTGTTTGGGGGATGTGAGGGCAGCCCAGGCCGGCCCCCGCCTCTCTGATCACAGCCCCCCACCCCCATCCCAGGCTTGGCTAAGGGCGGGTTAGGTAGTAACGGTTTCCTTGTGAGGCTGGAGCCTCCCCTGGACCTGACTGAATGGTAAGACATTGCCCAGTGATACCCGGCCAGTGGCTGAGCCCAGACACAGCTCCTGTCAGCCTCTGGGACCAACTTTCACATCAAGCGCTTCACCTAATCCTGGATATTAGCCCCGGGCTTGTGCTGCGGGCTGTGAGGGCAGGCGCTGACCACACTGCCCAGCCAACCGTTTAACCCCTTCCATCCTGCCCAGCGAGTGACCTGTCTCTACCTGCCCTCCCCAGTGAGATCTCTGCTCTCACACAGCCCCCTCGCCCCCCCCCACTGAGGGTTAATCACATCTCGATTCTTAAGAGTTGTTTATTATTAATAATAATCCTTATATTTGATACAGTGCCTCATCACATCATTGAGCCGTCTCAAAGCCCTTCATAAAATATACTGTAAAGTGAATTGACTGTATATTTTTTGGGCAAAATGAGTCAGTCAATCGTGCTCAGCAGTGTCCCACAAACAGTTGTAGATTGAAGTGACCAAATTATTATTTTTTTTGTGAAGGGATTATTACCCCCGGAAAATGTGATCCACCAATCGTCTAACAACCGAGTTCCTACTCACTGCTGGTAAACAGAGGCGTGTGGAGTAGGGAAATTTGCCCAACATTGTGCCCTGCCCAGGAATCAAACCCGGGTCCTCTCACTTGCGAGGTGAGCATGCAAACCACTAAGCTATCGGACTCCACTGTCTGTGGTCATGACTGTAACCCTCCCTGTCCTCCCGCTTGCCTCTTGCGAGACGTCACCATGTGCGGAAGGTGTTGAACCAGTGAAAGTTGCTGTCGTTGGACAGAGTTTTGGAATAGTATGATTTTTATTAAAAAAAACAAAACCGGGTGTAAGTGTGGGAACCAGGGGAAAGGCTCCTGTTCTGGTGGGAACGTTGCTCTTTGCAGTGAGCAGAGAACAAAGAGATGTCAGAGACAGACCGTTTAACCCTTTCACATGGCCACCGTTGCTCATGCAGAAGGTTTCAGAGAGGAGCTGGGCACTAGCTGGTTGCTGTCAACTTCTCTCAATGTACCTTATTGTCCCGGAATATAACGAGAATTATTATTCCATAAGAACGTCGCTGGAATTCTCACCGTCGCCCACAAGCACTAGGACCGACTTGTGTGGTTTTATATCAAAAATTCAATTCTATAATAATAATAATCCTTGTATTTGATACAGTGCCTTATCATAAAGCGAGCCCCAGCACAGACACGATGGGGAGAGAGAGAGAGAGAGAGCAGGGAATGGGGTTAGAGTAGAGAGCTCCAGTGGGGGAGTGAGCACCAGCACAGACACGGTGGGGAGAGAGCAGGGAGATGTGTGCGCTCCCACACTGCGTTGGCTGGGGCTGTACTGAACAAAGAGGTAAAGTTACAGCGATAACAGCAATGGGAACCTGGGGGCAGAGATACCATGGTTGATGGGGAGGAGCTGGAGACGGAGATTCACAAAGTCTATTCATTTAAAGAGAAACCTTCCCTTCACTGCGGTGGCTTTGGGTGTGAGGAATGCTCCTGTTGTTGTGGCTGACACTCACACAGGCATTGCACTACCTGCTCTCTGATCTCCAGCCCTGCATTCCTGCCGTCACCGCTGAGTGCCTCCGCGTAATGTTGCTGCTTCACTTTGAACCCTCTTGTAAGGTTAAGTTTGTGTGTGTAAACGGTCATGTGTCAGAGCTCTGAGAGACGCACACCCCCCGCCTCAGGCACAGCCTGCGACCCGCAGCGCCTTTCACACTGCAATAACAAACAGGCCTGGCACTATACCCTCTGCTTACTCACCAGCTGTTCCTACCAGTGGCTGCAATGTGCCACAGACAATAAACTCCTTCCCATCGGCCCACCCACCGCCACAGCTCCCCCCTCCCCCCTTCTCTCTCTCTCTCTCTGAGAGCACAATACACAGGGTTGGCGATTAGTGAGAGATGAGAGGACCTGGAGGTGCCGCCAGCCTGAGGTAACCTTTCCATCGCATAGCAACGGGTCTGCGAGAGCGCGAACGAAAGAGGACCTGGGTTTGATTCCTGGACGGGTCAGGGCAAAACCTTAGACAAGTTTCTTTACTCCACTAACAGTAAGTAGGAACCCGGTTGTTAGTCAATTGGTGGAACCCCTTATTGGGGGTAATAATCCCTCCCCCCCAAAAAAATTTGGTCACTCAATCCCCGACTATTTGTAGACATTGCTGTGCGGTTCCCCAGCGCTGCACTGGGGAATGGGACACAGTGCACTGCACCACACTACCCCACACCAGCTTGTTTCACAAGGAGAGTTGCCACATCTTAAATATTTTGGCCTTTAAGAGCAGGAGCCTTTGATGTGGTTCCCTCTTTATCTCCACAAAGTATCTGATAGAGAAACTGTTTAAGGATTACAATAAATTACATCAAAGAACGCTGTTGAGGAAGTGTGGTACTGACTGTGCCTGTCCAGGTCAGGGTTACAGACACAGTAACGCTCCTCTACACTGTGTGTCCACACTCCCAGGTCAGGGTTAGAGACACAGTAACGCTCCTCTACACTGTGTGTCCACACTCCCAGGTCAGGGTTAGAGACACAGTAAAGCTCCCTCTAACTGTGTGTCCACACTCCCAGGTCAGGGTTAGAGACACAGTAAAGCTCCTCTACACTGTGTGTCCACACTCCCAGGTCAGGGTTAGAGACACAGTAACGCTCCTCTACACTGTGCGTCCACACTCCCAGGTCAGGGTTAGAGACACAGTAACGCTCCCTCTACACTGTGTGTCCACACTCCCAGGTCAGGGTTAGAGACACAGTAACGCTCCCTCTACACTGTGTGTCCACACTCCCAGGTCAGGGTTAGAGACACAGTAACGCTCCCTCTACACTGTGTGTCCACACTCCCAGGTCAGGGTTACAGACACAGTAACACTCCTCTACACTGTGTGTCCACACTCCCAGGTCAGGGTTAGAGACACAGTAACGCTCCTCTACACTGTGTGTCCACACTCCCAGGTCAGGGTTAGAGACACAGTAACGCTCCCTCTACACTGTGTGTCCACACTCCCAGGTCAGGGTTACAGACACAGTAACGCTCCCTCTACACTGTGTGTCCACACTCCCAGGTCAGGGTTAGAGACACAGTAAAGCTCCTCTACACTGTGTGTCCACACTCCCAGGTCAGGGTTAGAGACACAGTAAAGCTCCTTCTACACTGTGTGTCCACACTCCCAGGTCAGGGTTAGAGACACAGTAAAGCTCCCTCTGCACTGTGCGTCCACACTCCCAGGTCACTGACAGGACAGTAAATGGAGAGGGTAAGGAGAGGTAGCGGAAACTCAGTGGTTGCACCTTGTGATGTTATCTGCCTTGGTCAGTACACACTGATCATGACACTGAGCCCATTTCACAACAATGATCCAAGATCATTGAAATAAAATGTCTCGGAATGTTTCACACCTTGTAACACGCCCTTGCTAAACTTTTGCTGCAAAGATCAAAGCTAATTAGGTGTCAGCTCTAGTGATAAAGGGCTGGATCAGGCCTGACAGTGGAGTATTGGGGAGAGCTGCATTGCTGGAGATGCCGTCTTTTAGACAATACACATTTACATTTACACAGCGTTTTCATGTTGGGAAGACGTCCCAAGGCGATTAGCAATCCTGGCTTGGCACCTGTGATTGGGCTGAGGAAGGGGAAGAGAAGAATAATAATCCTTGCATTTGATGTAGTGCCTTATCACATTCGTTGAGACGTCTCGAAGCGTTTCACATAATATTTTGTAAAGTGGATTGACTATATCTTGTGGGTGAAATGCGGCAGCCAATTGCGCACAGCAATGTCCCACAAACAGTCGTTGATTGAGTGACTTTTTTTTGGAGGGATTATTACCAATCCACCAATTTACTAACAACCGGGTTCCTATTTATTGCTAGGTAAACAGAGGCGTGTGGAGTAAGGAAACTTAGCCAACGTTTCACCCTGCCCGGCAATCAAAACCAGGTCCTCTCGCTTGCGAGGGAGTGCTCTAACCGCTGAGCTACAGGACTCCACTAACTCACTATCAGGAGAGGGGGCAGGATATTCTATATAATACTTCTCCCGATATTAGATCCCGGGTGTTACCCAAGATATAACGCCTGGTGACACAGGCTGCTCTCAATGTGGTTTCTCCACAGACATTTATACTCATATCACTGCAGTTCAGACCCAAACACACAAGCCATTGCTGGAGTCAGAGAGCGTACAGGTGATTCCTGGGCTGTTTCATAGGTATATTAGTTATATAGGAGGGTTTCTGAAAATAAATCTCTCTTTGTGCTACTGGTAACCTCCAGCTAAAGAGAAGTAAAAAGCAGGCAGTCCGCGAGCTAACCTGCTGTGTGCGGGCTGCCCCTCCACTGTCTATGGTAACCTGTAACTGGGACAGTCCACAGCCAGGGAGGCAGTGAGACAGAGAGAGAGTGGGAGAGAGAGTGACAGAGACAGAGACAGAGACAGAGACAGAGAGAGGCAGCGAGAGAGACAGAGAGAGGGAGAGAGAGAGACAGAGACAGAGAGAGGCAGCGAGAGAGACAGAGACAGAGAGAGGCAGCGAGAGAGACAGAGACAGAGAGAGACAGCGAGAGAGACAGAGACAGAGACAGGCAGCGAGAGAGACAGAGAGAGGCAGCGAGAGAGACAGAGAAAGAGAGAGGCAGAGAGAAGAGGAACACATGTTCAAGTATAAAGGAGAAAGAGTCACAAACAGATCAGTGAGAGAGAGAGAGAGAGAGAGGGAATGAAAGGCAGAGAAAGAGAGAAAGTGAGGGGCTGAGAGAGCAAGAGAATGTAAAAGACAGATCAGACAACATGTGAGAGAAAGAGAAAGACTTTATCTTGTACAAAAAAGAGACCCACACAGATCACAGATCAGAGAGAGATAAAGGCCCATTCAAATGTTTAAGAGAGAGAGATATACATACGCACTCACAAACATACACAACCACACAGGCGGACAGACACACACACACAGACACATCCACACCACATATACACAGACATAGACACACACATATGTGCGTGCGAAGGGGAGAGAGGGGAAACAGAGAGAGCCAGAGCTGGTGTGGGCGCTGGGTGACACCTGCCTGTTACAAATGCCCGGCTTACCCCTGGCCCTGTCCCACAGCAGGGATGACATTAAGCCCTTTCCACAAACTGCCAGTCAAGTGAAGAAGCCATCAAAACTTTAAAAAGAAATTAAACTCCAGGACAAGACTAATCTCTTGTATTGCCTCACTAGATAAACTCAAACACTGTCTGTCCAGCTCCCTAATCCTGCTTAATACAGCTTCCTTATTCACACCGGCTCAGCTCCCAGCTGGACACAGTAGCCATCACACATCTCACAACGTGTCACAACCTGGAGCAAATACAGCCTCACACTGTAGCGCTCCCACTGAGGAACACAGACATTTCCCTGGACAGTCGTCCTGACAATCTGCTCCACAGTGAAGCACCGCAACACTCACCCCAACACACACAGTCCAACACACACAAACTTAATACCCACAGCCCCAACACACACGGCCGCAACACACAGCCCAACATACACAGCCGCAACACAGAGCCCCCAACACAGCACCACACCCGATATATTTAATGACAATATTCCCCTTTCTCCTTCACTTACCTATGGAGATCCCAGATCCTTAAAGGTGAGACGTGATCACAGCCGGCAGTGCCTGTCACCAATGAACTGGAAGAGAAAAGCCAGAATGTTCAGGAAGGTGATGGAGTCAGTCACCAACAAGTCTCACACTCATCAGTGCCCCCCTTGCGTTAGTGCCCAGGCTGAGCACCTCACTGATAACACATCCTGAGGGACGGGGTCACCTAGCGTGGGCAATGCTCAACACAAAACAGCTCCTCGAGGTAAACACTGAGCTCACTGTGACATTAGCAAAGCCTGCTTGTTTGGGTGGATGTTAAAGATCTTGTGTGTCAGCCTGGCTCAATGGGTAACACTCTCACCTCCAAGTCAGAAGGTTGTGGGTTCAAGCCCCATGTTGAGACTTGCAATCACAGTTAAGTTGACGCTCCAATACAGCACTGGGGTGTGTTGCATTGTCGGAGGTGCTATCCTTCAGATGAGACGTTAAACAGACTTAAACAGTCCGCCTGTGGACGTTAAAGATCCCGCGGCACTGTTCAAAAAGAGAAGGAAGTTTCTCTCTCACAGTTTCCTGGCCAATAATCCCCTAAATAAAACTGGTCAATCACTCCATGGCTGTTTGTCAGACATTGCTATCGACAAATTAGTTGCCACGTTTCGTCCACAAAATACAGTCACTAAACTTTACAGTATATCTTTTGACGTGCTCTTGACAACATGATAAGGCGCAATGTCGAGCGCAGGGATTAATATTATAAATTGAGAAGCTTTCTGGCCAACATCCCTCAGCTACATTGATTGTTCACATCAGAGCCGTGTGTGTATGTGGGTGGGGGGGGGGGGATCTTTTGCGCAGAATGTTTGGCGTGTTAGTCTACAAATACAGTCATGTCAGCTTTCTGCACATCCCTCACCCCCTCCCCTCCACCATCAGCGGTTGTGCTTTTGGCCACTACACCCGACTGGAACTCCCTGCCCTTATCCCTCTGCCTTGCCTCCTCTTTGCCTGTCTTCAGATCAAGCCTGAACACTTTCCTCTTCAACCATGTTTTTGGTCACCTCCCCCATCCCCGTCTCAGGGTCGAGCTCCATCACTGTTCAGCACTGTGAGAAGCTGCCCCGCGTGACAGCAACAACAACAACAACTTGGATTTATATAGCGTCCTCCACGCCGGACGGTGTCTCAGAGCTTCACAGTGACGGATCCCGGGGCCGAGTCAGGGGGAAGGGGAGGAAGGTGACCAAAGGCGCGGTCAAAAGGAAAGGTCTTCATCAGAGACCTGAAAATAGGAAGAGAGGGGGAGAGGCGAAGGGAGTGAGGAAAGGAGTTCCAGAACCTCGGGGCAAAGTGGCTGAAGGTACGGCCGCCGAGGGTGAAGCAGAGGACTTGGGGGACAAGGAGGAGGCCAGACCCGGAGGAACGAAGGCAACGGGCACTGTTTTGAGAAGGAGGTCAGAGAGGTCGGGGGGGGGTGCAAAGGAATGGAGGGATTTGAAATCGAGGGTGAGGACACTGTAAGTACAAGTTGGTCAGCAAGTTCCTGGGAAGTGTTGTGAAACATTTCAACATTGCTGTCACAGTACTGAATATAAGGAGTCCAGTAACCTTAGTTCTTAACACACTTGATTCTTCCTGGGCAGGCCAAACCTTAGGCAAGTTTCCTTACTCCAACCGTTTCTGTTTACTAGCAGCAGTAAGTAGGAACCCGGTAGTTAGTCAATTGGCAGATCACTTTCCGGGGGTAATAATCCCTTCAAAACCAATAATATTTTGGGGGTTCTTTTGGTCACAAACAACTGTTCGTGGGACACTGCTGTGCGTAATTGGTTGTCGTGTTTTACCCACAAAATACACAGTAACTACACTTTACAGTATATTCTGTGAAGTGCTTTGAAATACATCAATGGCATGATAATGTGCAATAGCAAATGCAAGGATCATTATTATTGTTATGACACAGGAGCTGTCCTGAGCAGCTAACAGCACCTCAACAATTTCTAAAGAGGGGACGATAGAGCCCCAGTGGGCACAGAGTCACAGCCCAGAGACCTGTGTGACAGTGTTAATGCTGATGGGTGTGTGTGGGGGGATTAGTGTTCTCAGCCTGTGCTGTTCACTGGTTTCTCAGCAGTGGTTTATTAAATGGCACAATATAAGGCGGAGTGGTCTGCACAATCCCACCCAGGCTGGGATCACCTGAAAGTAACCCCTCCCCCCCCCCCACAACCCAATAATTACCTGCTGTTTTCCCACCACCTCGCTCCTTTCAGCCGCTCCGAGGGGACACTGCACTCGCACACACTAATAGCTTTTGCTTTCCATTCACGCGAGGGCTGCCTGGATAAAATTGGGCTGTGGACCACCAACACTGAAGCTGCCCTACCCCCACCCCCACCTCCAGCAGAAAGGCCCCCCACCTCCCCTCCCGCTCCACAGACCAGCTTCTTAACATGAAACCCGTGAGGTTTTATTGGAGCAAACAAGCTTTAACACATTCTCTTCCCTCCACCCACCCCCACGTTCACCCAGACAGTTACCACAGCCGCTCACTGAGCCCCCAGTCCTGCTCTGCCCTGCTCTGTGTGCTGCGGAGCAGGCAGTGGGAAGGGTGGAGGAGACTACACTAGCCTCAGTATCCCATTTAGAGGGAGCGCAAAAATTAGTTAACTTAGAATCCATCCCCTGAAGAGCGTGTCTGAGAGTGTTTTGTATGTGAGTCTGACTGTGTCTATGTGTGACTGTGTCTGTATATATGTGTGAGTGTGTGTGAGTGTATGCGTGTAAGTGTGTGTGTGTGGCTGTATGTGTGTGTGAGTTTGCTACAGTGAAACTCACAATCATGTGTTTTACCAGTTCCTTCTTCCCAGCTTCCCCCGGGGGCTTCCCGCTGGATTCCCCTCTCTCGCTCTCTCTGTGGGAAGTGCCTGGCTCCTGGTCCCCGTGCTGGTGTCTGTTCCCCTGTGTCCTGGGCTGTGACAGGAAGCCTGGGGTAACTGGGGAGCAGTAGGTGATGATGGTGTTGGGGCTACAATACACGGCACTGTGTATTGGTTAGATTTGCCGTCCTTCAGATGAAACAATAAACCGAGGCCCTGTCTACGTGTTCAGCTGATATTAAAGATCCCAGGGCAAAAGAGAAGGGAGTTTCTCTCTCCCGGTGCCTGGTCAACAGTCCCCTTAATAAATTTGGTCATTCACTTCACGACTGTTTGTGGGGACACTGCTGTGCGCAATTGGCTGCTGTGTTTCACTCACAAAATATGTCAATTCACTTTACAGTGTATATCCTGTGAAGCGCTTTGAGACGTCTCGAAGACGTGATAAGGCGCTGCGTCAAATGCAAGGATTATTATTATCAAGTGGGACCAAGTCAAGCCTGGATGGTGGGGGTGAAAAGCAAAGGAATTTGTGAACAGCATTGCCATCAGCCAGGCACCATCTCATGTGAAGTCTCTCTCTGTGGTAGTTTGAGAGGGCTGAGCTGAGCTGCGCTGGGTTGGGCTGGGCAGGCCCGGGAGCCTGTCACATCGCTGACAGCCACACTCGTCAAACACACAGCCTGGCGCTGGGCTGCCCTGGCACTTTAATCACTGTTGGGTAAACTCATTTGTTCAAATGATTACGAGTCGACCTAATAGAATATGCAGCAGCCCAACCTCTGGCCTCTGTGACATCAGATACAAAAGAGGATGGTTTCCTCCACCCCACCAACCCCATTCCTCTCGATTACTGCGATTATTCATACCTCACTGACCCCCACACTGAAAAAAAACAGATTGCAATTAAACCAATTTGTGCTGAAGGGGCAGTGATTGGGTGTGAGCGGGCACTTTGGGAAACACTGATATTATAGTGCCAAAGGTTAGATCATCTGCAGGCACCTGGCTCTCACCAGCTGCTGGGCCAGTCATTAGAACATGTCACGTCCCATCGCAGTCCTGCACAATTTTGCTAACCTAATCATTTGACATCATTATTTGAGGTATGTGTGTAGCATGGAATTATTGTCAGAGGTCACACAAACACAAAGCCAGGCCTAGCGGGACAGCCTCGCTGACAGTACCAACATTGTTAGCTCCAAACCAACTCACAGTTTACAAGATAACGGATTCCCTTCACTGCCACATTCCAGGCGGTTGCATCTAGCTCCTCTGCCCGTCCGCCTGCACTCTCTCTCTCCCTGTCCCTTGCTCACTATCTCTCCCACCACCATTCTTAAACCCATTTCCCACATTCAGCCACAAACCCAACAAAAGGTTGGCCATCACTGATCTAAAACCATCATACCACAAAGTGAGAACAGGCCACGAACACAAGCCCAGTAAGATTCTCTCACTCTCCTCTCTCTCTCCTTTCTTCCCCTGGGCTATGTGGAAGAGGGAGTTTCGTCCAGTGTCGTGGCCTATAATCCATCCTGTACAAATTTACCTACAGCTGAAGCTATCGTTCATCTCAACGTTACGTGGGATGTCAGTGGCACAGACCGATGCTGTAATTGCCTCCACAATACAGTAACTCACTGCGTGAAGCACTCCGAGCCATTTTCTTGTGATAAGTCCTGTAACTCGGTTAGAGCACTCGCCTCATAAGCGAGAGGACCTGGGTTCGATTCCCAGGCAGGGCAAAATATTGGGCAAGGTTCCTTACTCCCCGCCTCTGTTTACCTAGCATGTTATGTCTTATCGGAAGCCGGTTGTTAGTTGAATTGGCAGATCGCTTTTCCAGGGATAATAATCCTTCAAAAGATAATAATTCAGTCCCTCAATATACAACTGTTTGTGGGACACTTCTGTGTACAATTGGCTGTCTCGTTTGTTCCACAAAATCTAGTCAAATATAGTCTCTTTATAGTGATGCGCTTTGAGGCGTCTCAAAGACGCTATACGGCCCTATATCAAATGGAATGATTATTATTATTATTATTATGCTGAGGAGCTAGATCAGAGGCAGGGCCATTTGAGCTGTGTTATTGCAATTGTCACACGCAATGCACTGTGCTGACAGGGGGAGGGAGGAGCAGAGACAGTCAAAGTCTAAAATCCAGATGTGTCCACATGTAAGCAATCTGCTGATTCTGTTCTTT